TTTGAGCTACAATTTTAGTGTGAACATGTGCAAATTACATTTTATATTATAAACGCAATTGGGAAAAAAAACCTAATGTGCTACTTGTACAAATCTCAAAGGAATAAAATGTGTAAACGATTCTTTGAAATTAGGCCTTTTAGAAAGGACAGATATTTTAAATAATGCATATTTGATTGGCAACATGGTTCTTTTCGAGAGATGCTATATAAGATTGCAGTCAGTGAGCACATCGGAGAAATCTGACCAGGGAATAGGGTGAGGGACATTTTTACACGGGTAAGCTAAGAATATTAGCTGTATAGAACTCGATGTAGGCATCCTTTTAATACATTAAAGGTTGTACGATATTTTATGGAAATGATTATTTCTAAGTGGCTTCATTTAATATGCATGTGATTCAGATGTCTTTCAGTACATTTAACGTTTAAGGCTAAACATGAGTGAAAGAGATTGGCTTACATCACTCTTGGGTTACATCATTTCCATTGGACTTTCTTTAAAAACTGCCATGAAAGCTGAGACACGCAAATAGATTGGTACTGGGAACTCTCATGTGCACATCACTCAGCTTCAACTAACCATCACTCGCTACTCCTGATCCTAACGTCATCGACCACCGCCACCCCATTTTGCCCCAGTATTTCAGAGCAAGCCCTAGACATCCTATCTTTTCACCTTTAACACTAAAGTATGTATCCCTAAGAGAGAGGTACCCCAGATTACCAGCAATTCCTAATACCTTCTTTTTGGATCAATTTTGCCTAATTGAAAAATGTATTTTTAAAATCAGTTTGTTAGAACCAGGTTCCAAACCAGGCTCACATCGTATCTGGTTGATGTTTCTTTATTTTTAACAGCTCTTTTCTCCCCCTTGCCATTGCCTTTTTTTTTTTTTTTTTGAGGTTCCATTTTGGCAAGAATACTTCATGAAAAATAACCTTTTTCACTCAAGCTGATTTTTACCCTTTTTTCATCAATACGGAAACATACTAAAAGGTCATCCATCATATGAACTTTATAGAGAGAGCTGGTTTATAGTACTTCATTTAGTACTAAATGCTAAATACATTCATTTGGATTTCAACTGTAACTCTTATCAGCTAACAGATTTTTGAGCACTTTCTGAGTCGGGCATTAAAAGCTTTATCTTCCTAATCTTTACATGTGAAGGTAAGTACTATGATCCTTGTTTTCCAAATAAGGAAACAGACCATAGAGTAAGTTATTTAAGATTATTCCATGTCATGCTTTACATACAATTAAACCTAATGTATGTATATTTTTTGTATTTATGGTTTAATATAATTTCCCTTTTCCTTGTTTTGTGCTGTACCACAATCAGGATGCAAAAGTAAGTAGTTATTGGATACTAAAAATGTTTTCCTCCATTAAAATATACTGTGCCTTATAATTACAAAATTGTTGCCATTAGTACCAGAAATTTGACCTACTTGGTCTTTTTTATTGTGATGTGCAAAATCGGCTACCATGGGAAATTTTTAAGTAATTTTTTTTCTAGATATCCCGCTTTGTCTTCCTTTGACGTTTAAAAATGAGTATTGGTTGTTACACAGGACTAAAATGCCTTTTGTCCCAGAGCATTATTTCTGTGTTTCCTCCACCGAAGCCATTGGTTGCCCTGGGGAGGTCTGGGGAGGTGAGTTTCTGAAGCTGCTGGAGACAGTTAACGTCAAAAACTGAGTAAAAACTCAGAGGAAGATATTTCTATAAATACATGTGATACCCCCCAAAAAGCATGGAAAACAAAATTATGTGGAGAATTGGGAGAACTCGGGGGTTTTCCTGCTTTTTGTTTAGGGGAGGTTTTGAATTTTAACACTAAGATAACTTACCTTTCCTGTAGATAATTCGGTAGTAATGCTTTCTCAAATTGCTAGTGGGTTTGGCTGCTTTTCGTGTTACAGCAACGATGCCCACCCAGCCCACTGGTAGGTAATCAATAGGTATTTAATGCATGCTGAAAATACCCTGTGGTCTCTTAGTAGTAGAATGTGCTCGTACCACTGAATGGCTTGTGTTTTCCAAATCTTGCTTGTCCTTCTGTGTCAGTTTCACATTCCGAAGCCACCCTGGATCTGCTTACCAGAGTCTCACATTTCCCTCCACAGGAAGCCGAAACCCCACGTAGTGTTCTTGAAGAAATTGGACTGACATAACTCTCCTCCCTTGTTGACGACTTCTTGTGGCATTTTCACACACTGTAGATGGTCACTGCCTTCATGTCCATGTTAGCTAATGGTGTAAGATGACGTCTTGTCAGTATTAATTACTGTTTTGCTCAGCTGCTTCATTCAGGCCTACACAATTTTTTTTAAAGGGAACTTTGGTTAATCAGTTGATGACTTAAGGGACTTAAATATGAATTAGAATCATGTAGAAAAAGGTACCTGGATATTTTAAGGTTTATAGATCTGTTTTAATATAATGTATGTATATGAAAATGACACAATCAGGCAATATACATTTATTATTATTTAGTCTTTGGCAAAGGAAACAAGAAACCGAAGACTAGTGTGCACTTCAGTATATATGAGAAGAAAGGGAATTGACAGATCACGTGTCAAATGAATGAAAATTTAACTGTTGAAACAAAAAGAAATTTATACCAAAGACCCTTATTGGAAACTACATACCTTAAAGGGAATGAATACACATATGACTAAATTGGAATTATGCTGTTTTACACTAAAAATAATTTCTTAGGCATTCCAAACCTGGGGTCAACGGAGATTGTTTCATAATCGTGAGCATGTTATTTTTAAGGTGAAGGAACATTTGATTCCTGAGATAAAACTCTTTGTGGCCATAATCATCTAGTCACTTAGTTGGATTGTTTCTGATGTCCCCAAATCAAATGGAAATGTTGACTTCCCAGGACGTCTTCATGACAGCGTCTGACTAAAACGTGTTCCTCTCTTCACCAAGTGTTGGCTAAGCCGTTTAAAGCACGAATATTCCTTCTGGGATGCTTGTTACAGCCAAATTTATTTTGCTCTCCCCTGTGGCTGCCCTCCACTTAGAAGTGCTACAAACCTTAGGGCAGCTTCCTGCTCTTCCACGGCACTGCCTAGTTATGAGAGATCTTATAAAAATAAAAACAAACACCACCTTCCATGTAAAAGTGCTAGCTGAATGAAGTAAAATGGCATCAGTGGGCCCTGTATTTTTAAAAGCTGTTTCAACGTCACTTTTATACATACTTCTACATATATGTCTTCACAGTTTACACTTTCATTTGTATCTGCTGGGCTGGATTAAGCTTTGTTGTGATTGTGACCAATATTCAGGCCACGTGTGCAGTCTTATCGCATTGCCAATTAACTGTAATAAATGCTCACCGTACACCACTGTAATGTGTTTCTCTCTTTCCAAAAGTTTGTCAAACTATGGAGGGCTGCTGAAGGAAAAATTTTTAAGGTTTTTTTTTTCAGTAAAATGTTGAAAATTCACCTCCATTTGAATGTGGTTGTTAAAAGCACACACAACATAAATGGCAGAAGATTTAAGGAGTCTTCATATATTTCAAGCCCATTACAAAAATAATGTGGGTTCCATGCTACCAAGAGCTTATCCACACATTTTCAATCAATAAATGCCGCTTAAAAACCTTGATGCACTTGACTTCTACTTTCCGAATGAGCAACTCAGATTACTCCAGGTAATCAAAGGTATTACGCATCACCTGCAAACCTCCCCCACAACCCCCCATGAACTGGAAGGAGCTAGCACACTCACCAAAGCGACTGATATGTGCCAACTACTGCCTCATGTAAGCAGCAAATCAAAGCTTAGTTACGGGACCTATTAACTGCAGATGGGAAATGTTACATACTAAAACGATATTTAAGAACGAGGCAACACCTATCATCAAATTAAGTTGCTAGCTAGTCTGCTAAGAAAAAAGTTACTTGTTGACTTAAAGAGCCTCCAACACACTGCTATTGACTCACCGAACAGGACTATGGGCTGCTGCTTGCAATGTAGACATGGAATTTTTAAATCATAAATAGAAACACATTAATAAATTTAAGTTCAAGATGGATGTTTATCAGGATAATGAACCAAAGCTGCTCTTCCCCTCCCCTCCATACCATCCTGCCTGTTAACACTTGGGAAAGTCATTAACATCTCATCATTATCTTGAGCACAAGCTGGTGTTTATCCTCCATTATTTTTTCTCTCAATGATCTATTAAAGACTCCTCAGCTTTGAATACCACATTTAATTGTATCTTGGCTGTATTTAGGAAAGTATTGAAAAACATTGAATTTAGTAATAAGTATTCAGCATTAGTGAATCTGGTAGATAATTACAGAAAATTCTCATTTTCAGTCTGGAACAAATCAATTTTTCAAATGGAATGTATTCTGGACCACAGAATACATTTGCCTTTTGTAGAGACTACAGATTAAAGCACTGTCATTTTCAGTAGTTATCACTCAGAAATCCCGATCTGAAGCTATTCCAAGCTACTCCTATTCCATTTGTCTTAACTTCACTATTTTGTGTAGCCTTACGTCCTTATTTTCAAATCTCAGGTTGCCAACTGCCACACTGTGAAATGCAAGATCCCAAGTATGTCAATGGAAAGGTTACTTAGAAAATTAAAAATTTATGAGGAAGCATGAAAGCATCTTTTATGATCTGAAATCTAATAATATTTTGTCTTTAGCTTTTTATAGAATGTTCTCTGACCGTTTTTTTCATCAGAATTGCTGTAACACTAGACATATTCAGTAGCAATAACCCTAATTTTCCTGAAAATGACATAAAATTTACATCTATATAAAGAACTCTCCAACACATAAAAAAGATGAACACTGTAATGGAAACCTTTAACTCAGGAGGGAGTGCAAAAATGAGGTAGGAAGGAGGGGGAAAATTGGCGACCCTTTAATACTTGAAAACCGAAAAAGTAAATTTTAAAATAAAAAAGGCTGCTCAGGTATTGCATGTAGAAAAATCCAACAGATTAATAAAGGGCAAAACGACCAAATTTATTGGCTATTAAATATGGAAAAAAGTGTTTGACTCAGCCAGTGTGTACAGAAATGAGCAGTTAAATGCATAAAATTGACCAAACTGGCAAAGATCAAAGTAACTTGATGTGTGGGAAAACTAAAATGTGTGATAACTTTTTTTGTAGTTTTTGCGGAGGGCAATTTGGAAATACTTCAGTATTTATATATCCTGATATATTTTATGCTAAAGAAATGACCCGAAATGTATGAAAGTATTTAAGGAAATCTACCACAGGATTGTTTATAGCACAGGATTCTTTAATAGTGCAAAACTTAAAATAACTTAAAAATCCAACAGTAGGGACATGGTTGAAGAAACTGATAGATCCACACTATGCAGTGAGTAAAAATAACATTAAGAATAGGGCTTGATGAACTACGACAGTGTCTGAACTGAAAGAAAGCATATTCAACTGCAGCCATATATGAACTTCATGTGAAAAAAGTGCACACCCAAAACAGGAGAAAACAGAGACTACGGTAATGCTCCAGTGTTGACTAGTTATCTTAAGGATTGTAAGTAAGTTTCAAGTTATTTATACATTTTAGATTCCCTAAACACAGCAGTTGTAGCAGAATCAGAGCATTTTTCAACAGGGTTCCAGGTTACACAGCGTTCTGCCAGACTTGCGAACCCACGTGGGCTCCGAGCACGCTATCCAGGTGTGTACTGGCCACAATAAGTAAGATGTAGAACCGTGTAAAACCAAAGTCGGTTTATTTGGACTTGGAAGTCAGAACAGTTCTGTCCCTGCTAGGTGACCTCTTCCCGCCGCGACTCCTGGACCGGGAGGAGCTGCGGCTGCCCCGGCAGCCCCGGCCCCGGCTGCGGTCCCTTTTCCTTCCTCTGCTGCGGGAGCTGTGCCTCTCCCGACTTCTCGACGTGCGCTGGTGAGATTTCCTGCCCCTGTGGCTGCCTCTCCTTTTCCTCTCTGCTTCTCCATTTCTTTTGTAGGAACGGGGCGGGCTAGGGCTTCTCCTCCGCCTGGGCCTGCCGTGGTACTCCTCGTGGTGGCCCAGCCTCTCTCTCCTCTCCGAGTTCTTGCCGAAGGAGGAGCCAGTCCGCTCTGGAGACAGGTAGATGTCGCGGTTAGCCTCCCAGAACTCATTGTTGGGGTTTCTGAACACATGAAGGAAGTTGCAGTGTTTCCCTCTCGGGCACTGTTGTATTTCAAACAAACCTGCGACGAAACAGTGAGGAAGTTAGCACTGACTGCTGGCACTCAATCGTTCTCAGAAGGTACATCTCTGATGTTCGCGTGTGACAGAACTGTTTTCTCCTGTGTATCATTTAAAAGGGGCCTGCGTAAACTGATGTCACGGTTTTGGTTCCCAGAATTTCGAATATATTCAAATGCTCTAACAAACAGCACTGTGAGAAGTAACAAATCAGGAGTTTTAATTAACCAGAATATCCTGTTCCTCTACCGGATTATGGTGTGGAGTGCGATCGAACAAATGGGGACCACATAATTTTTTCCAGGGTTTCACCATCCCATTCATTGACAGTGTGTGTCCCTAATCAACACTGAAGAACCAGCCCTTGGAGACTCTGTGGCATCATGCTTTCGGGACATCATTTTTTTAAAAGCAGTAAATTCTCAAAATATGTAAAACAGTTAAAAGTGAAATACCTCCATACCACACACTATACGCAAAGTAAAAATGGATCAGAGTCCTAAATGTAAGACATGAAATGATAACACTGAAACAAACATACAAGTAAAATCTTCGTCACATCGAGCTAGGCAACACATTCTGAGATGACACCAAAGGCACAAGCAAAAAAAAAAAAAAAAAAGACGAATGGGATTTCATCAAAATTTTAAACTTTCATGCTTCAAAGGATACCATCAAAATGAAAAGACAACCCCATATAATGGGAGAAAATATTTGCAAATCATGATAAGAGACTTACCTGTATGACATTAAGAACTCTTACAACCCAATAATAAAAAGACATAAACTAATTAAAAATGGGCAAAGTCTCCGAATAGACTCCGAATATGTTCTCTCTGAAGAACATACAGAAATGGCCAATAATAAGGACACGAAAAAATGCTCAAAACCATTAGTTACTAGGGAAAATAACCAAGCTGTTATTTAAAAAAACAAGTGATGATCCCGTCTGATCTTGGAAGCTAAGCAGGGTTGGGCCTGGATGAGAGACCTAGGAAGACCAGGAGCTGTAGGCTTAAAAACAAAATTTGAAATAAGGGATTGTAAGCTGACAAGGTCCTTGCAATCTGTGAGGTCAACCATGGGTTGCCTCGCCTAAAAAAATAAAAATAAAAATAATTTAAAAATAATAATAAAAAAATAAAAAAAACAAGTCAAATAGCCTCTTGCTATGGGGGAGTCAAAGTCGCACTCACGAGCACCTCACCGAAATCACACTGGATTTCCAAGAACTGACAAAAGCAACCGCCTTTATGGAGAAAAACAGTTCCATTCCTTTCAGTCCCTGAGCATTTAAACTTAAGGTATAATGGTTCTTCCGGTTTTCCAAAGCAAAGAATTCTAAACTTCTTTTCTTTCCTTCAATAAATACTTTTTAACTGACAGTATCCATTACGATCAGGTGATCAAAGATTCCGACTTATAAAGTACAGGTTTTTAAATAAGAGGTTTTAAGGAAGCAAGTAGAATACAAGAGTCAGGGAAGGGCTCCATCCCTTCGCTTGCAGGTACCTCAGCAACAGTTTGGCTGAGCTCATCTGACAGAAACGAAAAAAGAAGGAGGCCATCAAAACACCGCTGGAGTCAGTGTGACTGAACGTACCCTCACCACGCCCTGCAGCTGCGATCGATCTCTACCACACGAAAGCATGTATGTCAAGTAAGGCAGGGAATGTTAGAGGTGGCGAAGATGACCAAAGATTCATTAGGGATGATTGGAGGAAAAAACATGGCTCAAATGAGGGGAGCCCATGAATAACAAACACCTCTGAACAGCAATAAGGAAAAGGTGGCTTCCCACAGACACAACTTCTCAGGCTTCTCGAAGTGTCAGATACAGAGCCCAGGATGGAGGCTGAGAAGACTGGAATTCCAGCCCCAGCTCTGTCACCAGTACACTGTGACAATCGCTTCATGCATAAAGTGATCCACAAGGTCTGTTACAGATCTAAAATGTGACGTCCTTTACATAATGATCTCAGCTCATCTACCGTGTGAGGTAAAAGCTATGCTTCACCCCTTTAAAAGGTGGTCTTTCCTCTAAGAATGCCCCTTTACATAGCAATGGAACAACTGGGGGGAAATCGCGTTGGATTTTACCACAGATGGCCATTTTCCAGCGGGTCACTGGGCAGAATTCACACTGGAGCTGGCGTCCTGCGTACCACCGGCCGTTGAACAGAGAGCGCGCCGCCTGGCATTCTTCTTCCCTTTAAACCACAAATCAAAGGCCGCACTTTACAGTAACGTCCTACGATGCTGATGAAGCCTGCTGTTAATTAACCCTCTTATTAGTTTCCTGTAGGGCCACCAAGCTGACTGCTTTTGTGCTCGAAATCCATTCAGGAACCCTTTTCACTAGCCCTCTGAGAGGTTCTGCTGCGTGGAAATGGACTTGAGTCAAAGCTTCTTAAATCAAAAGATTGGCCCATGAAAAATGCAGAAGTGTCTTCCATGGTCAGAGCCTGCTCCTTCTCGGCTAGGACTGCTGCTCTCCTTATTAAGATGGTTAATTTAGCCCATTAGCCATGGCGCAGCCCAGGCAAACAGCAAAACGAGTGGAATGATACAATGGCTGCACACTGACTTTGCGTGGGGCTTCGATTTCTGGCTCTTTCAATTTATACTTTTCTATTCTCTAGTTATCCTTTTTCGGTATGTATTTATTATTCAGTATTTTAATTATTAAAATTATATTAGTAAAAAAGTAACTGTACTGCAAAAGATTCAAAACTATAAGTATACAAAGATGGAAATACAAATGCATTATTTTCAAATCCCTTCTATATTTCTATATCACCTCTAAATATTTACATTTTTAAAAAATACCATGCATATGAAATCTGTTTTCAGTGTAAAAATCCCAGATATCCACATAATCACAACATTATACTGTAACAGGATGTGAAGATACTTTATGTTCAGAATACTTACGATTGATATTGAACATAAACATTGCCCCGCAGATGAGGTTCCATGTTGCAGCTGACCTAAGGAGCAAGGAAGAATTCTATCACTAAAAGAACAAATCAAAAACACCTAAAGGAAAGAATCCTTTCAGTCACCAACACACTTTGCCCGGCCCACATTACCAAAAGTAATCAATTCAAGATTCCAAAATCGAGATACAACCCCACTCTCCTCACATTTAAGGCACATTTCAGCACGGAACGGTGGTACAGGCCCCCTGTTGGTCCAGATTGTTTTTTTGTTCCATATATATGAAATGTTTCACATATACATGAAAATACAGAGACCAAAAGTCAGCCTATATATACAGCACTCAGATTTAACACTAACATTTTCTTTTTTGACTGAGAATGTTTAAATACGTACATGTTGATGTTAAAAGCCCTTCCAGCCTATTCTCCCTCCTCCATCACATACATGAGCACTATCCTGAGGCTAGGCATATCCCTCACATTCCGACACAAATATCTACCGCCACATACATACAAATGCATGTGCATTACGTATATATGGGTATACACATATTTATGTATACACACGCAAAGAAACACGTACATACACGTAAACCACGTATACTCATTGCTTCATACACTTTAAAATTTTATATAAATAGTACTTATTCACATTCTTTTTTCAAGATGTAATCTTGTAAACTTAATGATTCACTTTTACTATATACTGGATATGGCAAATTATCAGATGAATTTATCCAGTCCTCCAGTGACAAGACAGCCAAGGCGCTGCCAGTATTTCATCAACAGCGTTCTGGAACATAGGTCCATGGGTCCACGGATCTCTCTGGAGTGCAGAGCCACAAGCGGGTGACACCCATTACCTTCAAGTTCTCTACATACTGACGAACTGACCTCCAAAGTGGTTTTACTAATTCACACATCCTCCCCTACTCTTGGCATTAAGAAAATTTATATATTTTTTTACCTGATAGGTATAACTATATCTGATTTTAATATGCACCGTTCCTATTACTTGTCAGGTTGAATATTTAAACATTTGCCTTGAAAAAAGACACATCTGATTTGGTTTTATATAATGGTATAAAAAAGTCCTCAAATATTCATACTAATGTTTGGCTTTTGTTTTCAAAATAAATCTATCATTTTACAAAATTTATTCCAGAGTATTTTTATTAGAGCATCCAAAAACAGGCAGGATCCATAATGACAGACAATGGATACCACCAGCCTCAGAAGGAGGACCAAAGTGCCTTGGGAGGCCACACTGGCCATGCCAGGGACTTTAGCGATCACATAAGCCAGTGGTTCCCAAGGACCTGTTAATTTTTCATGATAAATATGACATTTTGAAAATTTTCCTGCTAAAAATTTACTAAACAAACAGCTTTCCATTTACAACTGCCAATGTCATTAGCATGAGCGTGGCAGACAGAATTCTAAACAAAAGAAAAAAATTCGCGTGGTTAGTGGGTGGCCTGTGGCAGGTGATAGCGTCATTTCCCCTACTCGGCCCGAAGTTCAGAAAGCGGATCCACCACGACCTTCATGAAGCAGGACAATGTAGGGACGCCTGAGGGGAATCACTGATGTCATCCAATCCCTTTACTTTTGGGATGAGGAAAAGGCACAATGAGGTAAGGTGACATGTTCAAGAATGCAGGCCTGGGCGAAGCGCACTAATGTGGCACACCATGTTATATGTGGCCAGGCGCTTGTGCTTTCGTGTTTATTGGTTGTGCTGACCAGTGTGAAGACAGGAATGCATACACAACAGAAGTAAAAGGCAAAAGAGAAAGAAAAAATTTAAAAAATCTTAAAAGCAGTAGAAAGAAGTATAACCTTGAGCTTCACGAGTGCTCTGTTCCTTGGCTGTTCCAACTTCCTGTCATTTCCAACCAGCAGGAAAAATCTCACCGCTTTACTCCTAGCTTTTTCCAAATCACGAGACATTTTCCCACACTAACGTAACAGAATCATTCAGGTTTGGATCTGATCAAATCACAAGGCAGGAGGCTTCACTGTGACCGAATTCAACCACTGGGTCCCAGCAGCAGTGGCTATTATATCTGACTTCACACTCTTGTGTCAAGGAAGGTGCTAAAATAATTCTATGTGGTTTGAATGCCTTTTTGACCCCATAGCTGCATCACGAACCATGACTGTGGGAACACTACGCTCAGTACTGTTAAGTATCCAATGAATAAAAATAATGTGAAAAAAAAAAAAAAGGAATCAAGATTTACATCCTGGGGTAGCCCCAGAAGAAACCTGCACCCGGGTGGTAGCTACAAGCTGATACCGCCAACACAATGCGACGAGAACGCAACAGCAAACTCGGTAAACGGCGTACGTGATGTGACACTGGGTTTACTGCCTGCGGGGGCAGGGAGTGCGCGCCTCCATCACAGGGATCACAGGCGGCCTCGCTGAGCGCTGGGCCGGCTACCTGCAGGGCCTGCCACAGACAATTCATCGGCTGGGAAAGCTGGACCGCAAAGGTACTGAAGAGGTGCAGAGCCTTCCCCATCTGGCAGGAACTTCCATGCTCGTAGGCGGTTTCATGTACCGTGAGGACGTAACAGGCAACGGGCCCGGCGCGGACTGCTCCGCGCGGCCCCTGCCCCAGCAGAGCCTGCGCCCAGCCCCGTCAGGCACCCCGGTGTGAGCTGAGCCAGCCCTCCTTCACGCGCACCGTGCGCGCCCACCTTGAACTGGACCACCTTCCCCACGTTCCTGAACTCCGGGAGCACGTCCTCGTAGAAGTCCAGGAACTGCTGGTAGGTCTCCTCCTCGCTGTACTCCAGGCTGGCGTCAGGGTCATAGTCGTCCCTTCTGCACTGCTCCATTCCAAACGTTGTAAACATGCTTCTGATAAGAAGGGTGGGGCTTGATGTCGGGAAATTGTGTTTACGTGAACACCTGCATGTGAAAGAGACGCTTCGATTCAGTGGTCTGACGGTCAGCAATGCCACATAAAGTGCTTGCTTTAGATTGAGACAGAGATTCAGGTAACTTGGTTGTTTTGACTTAACTGTAAGAATAAAACCCATTCAGACATGAAATTTCAACACTGAAGAAAACTGTTCTAAGATTGACCAATATTCTATTGACTCTCATTAAAATGTAAAATTGGAAATTATTTCCAAGTTCATATTCAGTCAACCTGCCTTTTGATGAAGTTCAGGAAGCCTGACACATGTGAAAGCATAGGGGAAAAGAAGGTCAGCTGGCAGGACAAATTGTGGTGACGGGCACACAGATACCCTAAGTGAGATTTAGGAGAAAGGTAAGAACAATACAATCCTGGTTCTATACCATCTTCGACTAACCTGATGCTTAGAGAGGCTAATCTGTGTCCAGCTAAAAGAGTATCTCAATCTCATATATGTATAGCGTTTCATAGTTTTCATGACATTTTTATATTTTTTCTCCTGATCCTTGCAGTCTGTTAGGACAGTCAGGACTAGTATCATCCCCACTGTGCAAAGAAGGAAGCAGAAGTCCTAGAGAAGCACGCTTATCTGGGTCGCATGGCTGGGTAGAGGACCCAAGGGACCCGAGTTAACCTACAGTGTACTACCTGTTCATTATCTACGATATGATAAATGTAATTAATTTTTACTTAAATGGAGGCTAACCCTTATGAAGAACAATTTTCTTTTCATAGTGTAAACTGGACCGGGCTTTTCCTGAGTGATTTTTAAAAAATCTTTTCTATGAGTTTATTTTCTTATTTACTGCCTTCTAAAATGAAATGAGAAAACAATGTAGTTCAAGATACCGAAATATCAAAATTTTCCTGATTAAGTTTCTAGTTAAAAGCATGATTAGGACAAAAATTTTAGGAAGAAAAAATATCCCCAGAATTTAGGAAGAAAAAAAGTTGAAAATTAGGCAAGTGTTGGAAAAAAACAATGGCCCTGAAATAACTAAATGTTTAACTCACACTCATTTTCCATGTTCATAATATATATCTGTGCACCTGGTGAGATAATGCATATAAAAAGCCCAGCTCGGAAATGTGCAGTGCTCATTAACGTGAAATGTTCTATTTTCCAAAGGACCCTCTTGGATTATTCAGTTGGAGACCTTGTGATGAGATCCATTTTCCCAAGTATAGCTACCGACAGCACAGAGAGCAAGGATTCAACCTGGCTGAGTGCTTGTGGTGAATCAGAATTTTACAAGTATGAAGCACATGCAGAATTAAACTAGAAACCAATTAAATGTTAAAATTATGCTCACAGGCTTATGCTATCTGAATGAACTTGGCTCTAGTTCCCAGGGTGTCAAATGAGCATTTGTGAGTTTTGAGACAGAGCCAGTCCCTATCTAGGGAAAATCCCCACTTGGCCTGGAGACAGGCCATACAATCTGAGTGTATTCAAGGCCAGCCTTATAGCCCCTACTGAAAAGTCAGCTAAGACGAGAGATACTTGGGAAGGCAGTCGAAAGCTGTGGTACCAAGCCTATGTGATTCTCAGAGTCGCCTGGGGAGAACTGAGATTTCTCAGATCCTGCCCCAGACCATCTGTTCACACCTCAAGTACTAACCAGGCCCAACCCCGGGGAACAATACTTTCAAAGTAACTCTCTATCTGGTCCTGGAGGTCGGCCATGTTTGGGAACCCCTGGTTTAGGACATGCTATTTACTCATTACTTAGATACTTAAATTAAGCAAGACTGCCACAAAATCTCATAAACATTACCTTATCCCAGGGACAAGCCAGTAAATGGTGTGGGTCTCCAAATGTCTCCTCAGGTACAGCTAACTGACTAGGCCACTTTTTCTTTCATGGGAGCACTCCGGGTACCCACTACCATTGTCCTCACATGTATGTTGCAGTTAGGCTGCAATCATTTATTGAAGGCCTCTGTAAGAAACAGTCTCCTGAAAATTATGTCCGCAACTGTTAATAAAATTTATTGAAGTTACTGTCTGCCTTCCTACTCAATGTCTTTATACAGTACTTCATGAGAGAACTGTTTCAAATCTGATGCCAGGAAGAGCTCTGTCTTCCCAGAGATCTCGCGCATTCTTCCTTTTCAGTAAGAACTACATAGCTCATCAGCTGTTGGGATGTATTAAAATCAAGAGCCTAGTTAGTTAGCTGGGACATTTGGAGACCCACACCATTTACTGGCTTGTCCCTGGGATAAGGTAATGTTTATGAGATTTTGTGGCAGTCTTGCTTGATTTAAGTATCTAAGTAATGAGTAAATAGCATGTCCTAGAATTAAACTCTAATAATTACAAAAACAAAACCAAAAAAAATGCTTAGGCTGTGGAAGTGTTTATCTGATAACATGACAAAGCCCAACAGAAGAGCTGCATGATCTAGATGGAGCAAGTCCCCGTGGTCCCCTGTAAAAGGGGCAGGGTATTTTTGTCTGAAGGGATGGTGCTGGATTTTGTAACTGCTAATTTCATAGAATTTTATTTCACAACTCATCACTTGAATGATGAAAATATCCAAAACGCTGTCGGATTTTTTTGATAGTTGTGATGATGAAATTTCATATGCCTATGAAAATATTAAGAAATGTTCACAAACTAATCTGAACACTGCCAATATTTCCTTGAAATGACTCTCAGGGAGCCTCACAGTCCATCCTCTTTCCATAAGTAAGTACCGTCAACTGATTCCCTGAAGCCATTTAGAACATCTCCCCTTGTCTCACTTATGCTCAACAGGAGGAGAGTCAGACTCAGATGATCACAAGTCTTAACATTCAAGCAAATGTTAGAGATACATCATAAATGAGAAATCCTACAGCCAGAAAACTTTAAATATAAACTGGTTCAGCTACCCACAAAAATGTGAACTCGTATTGTCTTTCAAAGATAATTCACTGTCTATTTTTCTCTTTGGTGGGGGGGTTGTTTTACATCAATCATTACTATTTCTTGATGAAACTGAGCATACATTTGGAAAACACTTGTAAAAGTACAAAGGGGAATAAAGTCTCTCTCTTTTCCTTAGTTCCCAGTTTCTCAGGAGGAAGCTTTCACTACTGACTTTTCATAGATATTCTGGATGCAGGACATACACAAGGAGTTACATATCCTGCATGAACGCCTCAGTCCTAGGCCACATCAGAAACCCCTGAGTGCATTTCAAAACTATGGCTGCCCACGTCTGAGAGACTCTCATTTACTCCATTTGAGGTAGGATATAAATTTTTTAAGCTTTCTAGATGATTCTAACATGCATCAAAGAACATGCATGTTAAGAACCACTGTTCTTAAAAAATGTAAAATAGTGTTTAGGCTTAAATTTAAAAAGAAAGAATGATAGAGAAGGTTCATATCTTCAAAGAAGGAAATGAAACTCACATCATGGATAATTTTATGAATAAGATAAACATGAGAGACAACATACAGTTTCTCATTAAATCATGTGAAATGGCCTATTCATAACCCTTTTTAGAATAGGATACTCAGATACAATTAGATTTTTCCCTCTGCAGAATGCGCGGTAATAATTAAATTTTGCCTCGGATGGATTCATTCACCATTACGAATTATTTACCTAATTTGAGCTGTTCATTCATAATCAGGCCATATTATAGAAATCATCATTGCCTGGCATACAGTTAGTATAAACAAGTATCTATTAAATGAATGAAGACATCAACACTTAGATTTCCACATGAATGTCCTGTTACAAAAACAATGATCCAAAAGACACTGGGAACAAGAGTGTCTCAGAGAATAAAGGCAACAAAAACAAAATGAAAACACCAGCAAACACACCGAGAGGGTTTACCATGTGCCTGGCACTGTTCTACCTGCTTTCCCTGCCTTTATCCATTTCAGCTTCACAGCCCCCTGATAAAAAGAATGCTATTTTTAATCCCCATTTTGCAGATGTGAGAACTAAGGTACAAAGAGCTTAAGTAATCTTCCCAAAGTGACAGCTGCTAAAGGCCAGTTTTTGAACCTGGGGCTGAGCTGGAGCAGACTGAGAGTGGTGAAACAGAATAGTCACCTCCCCACACACACTCCCCGTCCCCAACTCAGACCCTGTCTTTCACAACCATCCCTTTAGGCATCCAATTTTTTAAAGCCTCTTTTGTGCACAGTGTTTGTCATTCAAAAAATAAAGCCAGACGGCTCCGGTCTCTTGAAATAGATGATTTCCCCATCTAAGTTGTCTCACATGGACTAATTCAAGCACAGGAAGAAACTTAAAAACAAAAGGTCTTCATAAAGCTATGGAAGATGCAAAGGGAGCCCCGTCAGAGAACTGGGCTAAGCCCCCCGCAAGGGAAGAGGACTGGGGGAAGAGGAGGATAGACAGCTGGGGGCTGGAGGAGCAGCAAGGACACAGCAGATGCCTCACTATGAACAGTTCAAACTTGGACGTGAGGGAGATCTGGCTGCGACATCTGTCACATCACTGATCGCCACGGTTGATCGGCTATCTGGCTGCCTAGGCGGGTGACTCCTTCCTCCCTCACTGCCTCAAGTGCATCCCTCCCTTCCTCCATAGAGGAGAGGACTGCTCTTCGGTCAAAGGCATGTCAAGGGCACACAAGTAGCTATGCTCCCCTGCTAGACCCTCCAGACAAGCTCGCAAAGCCTCCAAACGTTTCAAACTCAAGCCTGTGCCACCCGCAAAACCAGAACCCAAAAACTTCAACATTTTGAGTCACCTAATTCTGATATGATATAAGCAAATTAATTACCTATCTCCAAATCTGCAAGCTCCTGTTTTACTGTAGAATGGACAATTAGCTCGATCTTTCTCCAATACTCTTAAGTCCGTGGGTGGTTCTGGGTTTTGCCATGTGGCACCCTTTTCCACCTGTTGAGAAAAAACCATGAGTTTACCAATAGTGTACAAATCCATGAAGAATTAAATGTTTACAATGTCTTCAAATATTTCGGTCAAAAATACAGATTCATTTAAGAACGTACGCATTTAAATTGTAACCTACATTAGAGACTTTACAAACAACTGTGCCTTGGACATGAGCTATGTGTCTCTCTTGGCTCCCAGCCAGTGCTCATTATCGGGCACCATTACAGACACCAGGAATGGTCACTAAGGTTTCCCTTTGTCCATGCATTCTGAGAAGGGCCAAAGGCCTTGCTGGGGAACCAGCACTGATGAAATCAAGGTTCCTCTAAAGCACATTAAATTGTCCACTGGGGGTGAGACTGTGTGATGTTGCTTAAGCATACATTAAGGACTATATACAAGGGGATTCAATACCATTTGTTTATGTTCATCAATAAACTTTTGTGGTTCTTACTGTTACATAGATCACAGAGCCACAAAAGTGATTCCAGATACTCAAACGTGACCTAAACAGCGTACCACAAAATTAACATTACTGAAAGTGCTGTTTTTAAAAGAAATGTTTATCAGTCTCAAATTCTTAATGAAAGGTTTTAAAAATACCTGATTTTCAGCCCGCACCAGCATCTTCTGCACAGCTTCCTACAAATGGTGCAAACATAGGAGCAATGAAAACCTGGGAGTCAGGTAAGTCACATCTGGTTTCTCTGGTTAAGAATCTCATGTGTAACAATTTTTTAAAACCCACACATACAAAAGGCTTCAAGTTCTAATTTGCTTTTTAAAGCACAGGTCTTCTGAAGTTTTCAAAGGATATATAGGTGAGAGTTTTTATTCAAACAGGACATTTAATGACTGAGATCGCAAAATATTGAAAATATCAACTTATAATAGTTTCAGTAACAGTAATATTTAGTGTATTTGAGCACATATACCATGTCCTAGTTTTTAAGATGAGGTATTAATGATAATAAAGTGCGATGCTAGCTGAAACATCATAAACATTTAACAGATGCTAAAATATAACATGAACAAGAGTAATTAGGATTGACGAAAAATTCCAAATTTTTCGTTAAAGCGAAAGAAGTCCTGCAATATGCCAGTAAATTTTGACCTCATCGGCATTTAAACAAGTTTTGAAATTATGATCAACGGACTTCACTTCCCTAGACCCTTAAAGCGTTTCATAAAAGACATCTGTCTAGCTGCTTACTTGCTAACCCTACCTGGTCACTTAAGTGTCCTTGGTAACTTAACATGCTCCAAATGGAACTCTAGTTGTCCCTCCTCCTCACCCATGTAAATGCCCCATCTCAGTTCAAACTAGAATCTACAAGTGTATGATCTGAACTCCTCTCCGCTTCTTTCCCCTCCCCGTCCGTTTAGTCTACCAGGGTCCTGCTGACTCTCCTCATCACACTCTGATCTGTGTACTTCTGTCTTAGGCACTACCCTCACCCAAACCACCCCCATGTCCCATCTGGAGCAGCTGCCTTCTAACTAGTCGCCCTACTTCCACTCTTGCCTCCTTGGTAAAGTCACTCCCTGCTTAAAAGCCTTCAGCAGTTTCCCATTACCCTTAGCATAAAATCCAAACCTGTCCTTCCAATCCAGGAGGCCCCATGTGACCTGAACCCGCCGACCGTGCTGACCTCCTCCCCTGTGGCTGTCTGCTTTGGTCTCTAGGTTTCAGGCACCCTGACCTTTCAGCTCCATGTTTGGGCCTCTTCCCTCTGCCTAGACCTGTTTTCCCCCTGAGATCTCAGCACTCAGGTGTCAGCTCACATATCAGCTCCTCAGAGAAGCCTTCCTTGACCAGCGATGTGAAGTACTTCCCTGGCCCAGCCACCCATCACATGACTCCCTGCTCTGTTTCTTTATAGCTCTTAACATGATCTTACGGCATGTAAAATGAGTTCTTCCCTACTTATCATCTGGCTCTTACCTAGACAACTAATTCAGTGAGAGCACGGACTGTCTTTTTTGCTGCCTCTGTCTCTGTCCACTATGGAACTGCCTAGCACGCAGCGGAAACAGACTGCATGTCCCTTTATATACGCTCACAATTGACTTCAATTTACCCACTTCTCCTTAACATTTTGCCAGACTTCCTTTGAAACAAAAGCCTGAGCTTTTTGGAAAAAAAAAAGCCTGAGCTTTTATCTACTGACAAAAAGACCTCAATTGAAGAATATTCTACCATTAGAATGGGGATTGGTTACTCTCTATTAAAAAAAAAAAAAAAAAGATAAGCTCCAAACAATTTTCCTGCCTCTAAGAACCTACTGAGGTCAAAGATTATTTGGCAAGTCATGCTCAAATTAGAGTATCTAAGATTTGTACTGGAATTAACTGATAGCCTGAGACAAAAAACAAAGGTCACGGAGGCTGTCTCTAACCCATCATGACTAGGATGTAAACAAATGCACTTTTCCCCATGATAAGTTGATTAACTACCCAATTTTATGCCATTCAAAGTCAGCAATATTACAGAAAAGATACCTCCTGATGAATCAGTCAAGGCAAGATGAGCTGTGATATCTTTGAAATAAATATACTGTTAAGGAACCGCAGCGAATATACCAAATCAATCTTTAAAAAGAATTCTGAAAATACAGGAGATATATACATATAACCTTATTGATTTTTTTAAACAAGCAACTATGTGTTAGCTGCAATTGTGTTTATAGCCCAACTTGGAAAGGAAGTCAAAGTTTAATAACGAAAAACTTTCCTAATTCTTCAAATCTGAGTTCCTGATTTCTTTCAATCGACTAATTCTTGCTGACATGTCATAAACAGTTAAGTCTCTTATGTACTAAATATATATGGAAACGATACAAAATATTATTCTCTAACCAAGTAAACCCATATACAACAGAACCCCAGAAAAACCATTTGCTCTAGAGTGGTACATAGTGTAAAGCAGGGCCCGGCTGCCTGTTTTTGTAAATAAATAATAGTTTTATGTAAATGCAACCACACCATTCATGTACAGATTATCTATGGCTGCTTTCAGGGCACACTAACAGAGCTGGGTGTTTGCAACAGAGACCATACAGACCACAAAGCCCAAAGTATTTACTCTCTGGCCCTTTACAGAAAAAGCTTGCAAATCTCTGGTAGAAAGGGTAAAAAGGTTAGTAAAGCTGAAGAAAAACCTTAAGGCATCCACCACTGCACAGACCAAAAGAAGAGCATCAGAAGGAAACTCTAGTGTACATACTGAAAACATGACTCTTTCTAAACGAAACCCCGAAGCCCCAAACCCTGCTATGCCTATAGCTTATTCTTCAACCCGCCACACGCCGCATCTGCTCACTAAGAGGATACGCAGTGCGTTTATCCTCCTGTGACAGGAATCACCTCTCTTTCTCTCCTCTCCTGTAGCTTCTGCTTCTGCTCTTCTTTCTCTTTTTTCTGCTGTTCTTCCCATTCTTCCTTTAACTTTCTCTTTACAGGGGAGAAAAAAAGAATGACAAGTAATATTTTTTAGTTTTTATGTTTTAAAAGTTAACATACGAGGCAAATAAATGAAAAACTTTAACAACACTTTAAAAATGGGTGATATCCAGTTTAAGTTCAAGATACATGACTCTTGATGAGTTTTGGTTAACTAGTTAACTGGTTATCTGATTAATACTGTACCTCTTGTTCTTCCTGCCGTTTTCTAGCTGCCTCTGCCTTTTCTTTCTTTATTCTGAATTCTTCTTGTGCCTTCTGCTCCCGCAGCAACCACTCCTCATGTAATTTTTGCCTATCGAAATAACATAATCAAAGAAGTGGGCATTAATCTACAAATACACACACATGCAATAGTAAAATGACATGTTTGGGAATGATTAAACTATCCTGAAAGATGCTTTCTGGAAAGTAGTTAAGTGGGGGTAAGAGAAAGAGAAGATGTGAGTAGCAATCTGAAAAGCACTACTTTTCAGCAACTATCTGCCTAGAGGGTAATGCTTTCTAATCATCACTTCTACACTTTGTATCTGTGACATCTTTTATATAAAACAATGACACAACTTTCCCTGTAGGTTGACTATAGTAATGTTTAGGTACCAATGAAGTGAGTAAGAAGTTTCAAAGCCACATCCAGTTTTTCGCATTCAGGAAGTATTATCCTCCCTATTCTACTCATTTTAAAAGTGGCAGCCAGGACTGCGGCACTAGGGAACCTGGCGTCTTGGGCCGTAAACCTTCGGATGCTACTCTATCTAGTGAAGAGACCCCTGTGGTTTGCCCTAAGCACCGAAACTGCTGAAAGGAGGAAAATAAAACCACATCGTGATCATGCCTTTAAAATAAAGCTACAGTTTTAAGAAAAGATGATGAAGAGTTATAAAAATAAATAAGCAGTATCTAGTTTATTTTTTAAAATGACCAACTATAAAGAGTGATATTATCTTAAAATGGTGTCTCAGACATCTAATATCACAAGTTACTAATTAAAGATGGGCTACATTTCAAAAGTTGATTAGCCATTTGGGTGTTTAGAACCTAGATTGCATTTTCCCATTGAATCTGGAAACAGGAAATGAAATATAAGAAACTGTTCTATATCGCTTCAGCAACATTAGGAGTTAGGTAAGGTTTTAAGTCTAGCCCGGGGACCTAACCATAATTTCAAATACTCTATGGAAAAATATATTCCATTTCCAAGTGCAGATTCCAGGAACACACCATGGAAGAGACTGCATACGTCTGAAGGAACACGCAGATTTCTGACTGCTTGGGGAGCCAGCACCTCTAACCCCCATGTTGTTCAAGGGTCAACTGTATATCATCTTCACCATAACAGAAATCTGATGAGAACCAGTTATTACAGCACCTCCTACCTGCTAACACTATGTTAGGCACCATACACTTACCACCCCCCTCCATCTACTCTCCCCCTTTTCCGAGGTGGGTGCTAGGATTGACCCACATTCCAGGCAAGGACACTGAAGCTTAGAGAGATTAAGCAACTTGAACACAGCTAGGAAGCGGCAGGGCCAGGACTGGAATGCAGATCTGGCTAAATGCAACTCCATGTTCCCAATCGCTACTGCATTGGGGTGGGGGGTCATTTTGATAATTTGACCTATTTATGTGCTTAGATAGAGAAGAGGAATTAATTACAAGAAAAGTAGCAACATACTAAACAGAGAGTGTCTAGAAAGCTTTTTTCTCCTTTTAAAAATTTATTTTTTATCGTGGCAAAATATATATACTATAAAATTTACCAACTTTAAATGTACAGTTGAATAGCATTAAGTACATTCACATTTTTGTGTACCACGTTTAAAAAAAAAACTATCCCTGAAAAATACTGAGAGAAAAAGTAGCACAATATTTTTGTCATCTCTAGATGAGAGAGGTCTTTTTAAGTCACACACCAAGGCCAGATATCATGAAAGCTGATGATGTGAAAATCAAATTATGGTAGGTAATGCTGTAAGCTAAGACTGATGATTAATGAGAAAAATATACATCATACATATGATAAAGGATTAATATTCGTAAGCAATAACACTGCTTACACTACAAACTTAAAAACATATATCCCAAAAGAGAACGATACAAGACTTAAGCAATCTACGAATAGGTAATAAAATATATAAAAAGATAGTAAATCTTACGAATTTAGAAGTGTACATTTGAAACAATGAAATACAACTTTTCACCATAGGAGTTTTAAAAACTGATAATACCTAATGTGAGTGAAGGTATAGAGAAATGGGCATCTTGATTCACTGTTGGAGGAGCTGCAGACTGCAACCTGGATGTCCTTCCTACCTGCCCATCTACATTTTACATATATTTATCCTTTGAGCCCAACCATTTCATTTCTAGGCATTTTCCTAAAGAAATAACAGGACAATTACCAAGGATATATAGTCATGGATGCTCACTGTAAAATTTAAAAATTCTGAATGTAAATTAATAAATAATAATAAATAGTACATAGTAAATGAACGTTATTTAATAGCAATAACCTGAATGTTCATTAGGAGAGAATTATAAATTATGAATAAAGAATAAATTATGCTATAGCTATACAATGGATACTGTGTTGCCATTGAAAGGGTTGAAATAATCTCTGCATCAACACTGAAAGAAATGTCCCATAAATTTAGCAAAAAAAAGCAACTTAGATATGTATAAATACCATCCTATAATAGAAATATGCATGTACACTTTCTTATATTCATGCATCTACACTTTCTTATATTCTTAACAGTGACTATCTTTGGGAGTGTTGAGTTCATTGAAGCCCTTTTACACTTATTTTGATTTTTAAAAAATATTTATGAATTAGCAAAAACAGTGAAAAATACTTTCATTAAGAAAAAAAAATGACAACATCTAGTTTTACCCTGTCACCTAGAGAGTTAAATAGCTCATCCAGGGTATTTTCTAAGACCGATTCTGTGTAAGATTTTATAAAGAAGACCCAAACTAGTTAGTAAAGACATAATATTCAAATGAAATGACTAGGTTCATGAGAAGTGCTTCAATCAGCACTGACCTCTCTATCTCCAACTGCTTCTCTTCTTCTAGTTGTTGTTCAGTAAAAGATTCCTCCTCCTCCTCCTCCTCCTCCTCCTTCTGTGAGAGTCCTGAGGGAATTTAAATGTTTTATTAAACTATCTGAGTATACAAACCCTTAGGCAATAATTTAGGAAAAAAATACCTTCTTTAATTTTTACAATTATAGCATGAACCTGTTTTTATAATTTTCTAAAAACGAGGGCTCCAACCGCCCAAATATGGTACAATGTGAGCATCAAAAAGAACAATGACGGTAGTAGATAAAACCTTAAATTTAAAATTAATGGTTTCATAGGGATACTCAAAAAGTTGGTGGGGTGTGGGAGAGAACATCCATCTTTACGGAAAAATGGTGACTAAGAAATATAGGAGACTCGAGTAGAAAAGTCATCACTTTTGCAACCCCACTGTTAAGAATTAATTTAGACACAGATGCTAAAAACATTGAAAGAAAGCCTATTGGGAAGAGGATATTTACACCATCTCAAAATAGCAGCCCACAGATGAATACAAATTACAAAGGGGGAAACATCCTTTACAAAGGAGCCATTTTATTGGCAACGTGGACCACACTTAGCATCATCAGGCGTGGAACCACAGACATTACAGGTTCCCTGATGTATGCAATGAGAGGCATACAGCATCAGCTTTGTGTATTTTGCCATGAAAATTATAACTTGAAGCTAATCGGGAAAAGACAGACTAATCCAGAATTCAGGACATTCCACCAGACAACTGGCTTGAGCTTTACAAAATAATCAATCTTGGTCTGAGAAAGTTTAAATATGGCCCATATATATCATTGATTCTTGTTTTTTTCACTTGGGTGCAAGTTTAACATTGTGGTCCTTATTCTGAGGAGATGCGGGCTGAAGTATTTAGGGATGAGGATCATGATATCTGCAACTGACATGTAAAGGGTTCAGAAAAAAATTGTACGTATGTATCTATTTCTATAGAGAGAAAAAGTAAGGCAAAATGTTAACAACTGGCAAATTTAGGTGAAGGGTTCACGACCATTTATGGTAATATTTTTTCAACTTTGAGTACACTGGAACATCTTCAAAATAAAAACAGGAAAACAATTTTTCATATAATAAACACATATCCTTTCCTATTCAGAATTCAAATTTGAGGGAAAAAAATGAGGAAAATTGAAGTGATAGTAAGAAAATGTAACAGAAGATCTCAGGCTTAAAGGAAAAAGATTTTGTGTCTGTCAAATATATTGACTATAGGTTTCGCCAAAGGCTCACCTCCTCCTAATTACAATAATTTACTTTTCTTAAGCAAGTAAACTTTATTATTTTGACATGTGAAATTAAAAGAAAATTGGTAAAAATTAAGATAAGTTCTAACTCGCACAGAATAATATCTAATAATTCAGAGAAATAATCTAATGTACATAAAGCGCCTTGCAGAGAACCTGGCACAGAGGCTACGGCTGACTTAGAGGTGTGCCCACGGACTAGACACTGCCTGCACATGGCTGATATGCAAACACATCTGTTGCCTGACTCACTCAATCCCCCATCCTGCCACAAACCAAGCTCTCACACTCCAGAGGTGATCACTAATAGTTCTGGGTGCAGCATTTTCTTTACATATATGTATTCTTGCATATATCTGATGTTACATATATAATATATGTAATTGTAACTATATGGAATCATGCTATAGTTTTACAACTTGCCTTTTATACTTAACCCATTTCCCATTTAAAGAAAAACAAGTAAAACTCGCTGCTAGCGTTAATTTAATTTTACATGAACACGTTCTTTGAGGGTGAAGCAAATCTGACTGGTTTTCAATATGAAAACATAAAAATTTCTTGGAGTTATTTCTAAACAGAACTTGTCTTTAAACCTAATGTAACAGAATGTATACATAAATCGGATTCATCAAATGCATCTTTGGCTAACAAGTGTTTGAGAACAATGTTAACATCACATGTAGGAATGCTGCGTTTTCTGGGATTTGATATTTTCAGCAATTGAGAATTACTATGTTTTGTAAATAAATACCACTACTGAAGACAATACTATAAATAGAATGATGTCATTTGTTTCTAAAGACTGCTGATATACTAGAGCGATGTGAAAATAATAAAACCAAGATATTTTGTGGCAAACTTTGGGGGTAAGGTTAGAACTGTAATCCATGAGTTATCTTCGAGTAAACACTGTAGCCACCAGCACCGCTGGCAAGTATTCCCGGGGCAAACGGGAAATGGATTAATGTTACCTTAATTTCTGACAAGGCAGCTCATTTCAGATTACTTTAAGTAGAACTGGATGCTAAAGAGGATACCTGGAATTGAGAGGCCGATATTCCAGAAATTTCTACCAATCATTTGTCAACTCATTCTTATAGCGATTCTTATATAATATCTCTACTTTCTAACTTTTTGGGTAATTTTTGCCATCCAATGTGTGCTACAATGAACTGTAGTATTTGATAGGCTACAGTATTCATGAAGCACCACTAAATAACAAATTGTGAGTTGGGTGGACAAAAGTAGGAGCAGTCATCCAGAGACAAGTGCTCAGCCTTGGATCTGCCATTAGCCATACAATCCTGAGCAGACCAGTGACCTGCATCTTTCCACTAACTAAACTGCTAAAGGACACCATCTACCTGTCTCTCCACAAAGGCTCACTCCAAACACACTTTGCAAATCAAGGTGGGGGACATGGGGGAATCAACACAATACAAACAGCTTTAGGATTTAAAACAGGGAAAGGAAAAAAAGGTTCAAAAAGGTATATTCAAAGAAAATAGGTTAAATGAACAAGTAAGGTAGCTGAGAACTTTAAGGGAGGTGGGGGTATCACTAAGAGCATCAATAACTCCAACCCATCCTCTACCTAGGTTTTCCCTGATGCTTCATCCTGCCTCTCTAGTGGACCAGTTCTGAACGAATAAAAAAGGAGATGCTAAAAAAAGGGTACAGGTAAACACACTGCTCCTTCCATTCTAAATATTCCAAGCAATGCCACTAAAATAATTACTAGACAACTCCAACGGTAAATAAAACTTCTATGGCTATGTTTCTCATGGCCCCCAAATCCTGGTTACTTGAGGCCCTTCATGGTTTGTGGACCTCAAGAATTGTCTCTGATAAGATTTTTTGTCCCCATTTCATTTCTGATTCTATTTTTAAAATTAAATTTATTGAGGTAACATTGCTTAATAACATTATATGGTTCACGTGTACAACTTTATACATCTGTATATTCCATTGTGTGCTCACCACCCACAGTCTAGTCTCCTTCCATCACCGCATATGTCTAAGATAACTTAATAAATATATTTTGGATAATCTGGATGACAACCATTATAATCCAGTACTTCTGTGTGATTTCAGTGCTTCCACCTGCATTCATAACTACTATATAATATTACAACTTAGTACTAATTTCATTATATTAAACAGACAGGTTTAATATGTAAATGTTAAATTCTGCCATACGAAGGCCAAATGACACGATGAAGGTTCCACAGTATTTTGCCAAAAAAAAAAAAAAAAGTGGTAAATAACCACAGGGAAAAAGTAGTAGTGCACTCTAAACTCTAATCAGTACCGTATTCACGTCGTGAGCATGTTTCCCACGATCTGTAACATCACATAAACGTAGATTGAATTTTTATTGGATGTGTGATTTCACTTGGCTTTGTAATTTGTAAATATGTTTTACAGTTAAATAAGCATTTCATAACTAGTTTTTTGCACATGTATTTCAGTAATATATTAATAATAATGAGTCGACAAAGGGTCTCTTGCGTTACTCAAGTTTGAGAGAAACTTGCAATGTCTAAAACCCTCGACTCCTGCTGGTTTTACAAAGAAAAATATTCACCGAATACTTACTACGTGCAAGAGCTGTGCTAGCTGCTGTAATTCGTGATGCCTGCACCTGTAATATTAGATAGTCCATAAATACTTACACATAATCAGCGGGTGATGATTCACTATGCGTTTTTCCCCCTTTAGTACGTTAACAGTTTCTGACACGAGTCTAACGTAACTTTACCTGAGAAGGCAGTAGCCACAGCAATTCATTATCAGATACATTACTTGGCTTCCTTCTGACACTGGGACCTCAAGTTAGGACGGGAGTGAGGAGAGCAATTTCACACACAGGAAACAGGATGAGTCCGTTACCTGAGTCTCTCAATCGAGCGAGTTCCTGCCGACGTTTCTTTCGCTTCTCCTTCTTCAGGGCGGCCCTATACTTTTTGTGGCTGGAGAAACAAGACATGCACACTCCAGCGTCAGTGGCCGCACCTGTGGCGGTGTCTGCCCGAGCTCCCCTGTCCGCATCTAGTTACAGGAAATCGCCCGGGTGCTCGGGAGTAAAATCTTGCTTCCCATTTTTCGATTAAAGAACATTGCCTCGCCCTTTCACGCCCAGACGGCAGGTCTTCCCCATCCCGGCACCTATTACTCTTCTCGCCTCCCTGGGCCGACAAACGCCCGTGATAGTCCGGACCGCGTCCCCGCGCCGCCGCGGAGGCTCGCTTGCTTGCCTAGTTCCCCTTTACTTCCTGCTTGAATATGCTCCATGCCCAGCCTCGGCCCGCTAATTCCCCCCAGCCCAGTTTACCTGGGTTTCTCCGGAAGCAACAGCGGCCCAGGGACGGCCATCTTGCCGGCGCCGTCACGCCCACAAGAGCCGCCGGAAGAGGCGGGCTTAACAGAGAGCGCAACCGCGCGCAGGCGCAGATGCCGCACGGTTGCTCCGGCGGGCAGGGACCGATCAAAGACGGAAAATGGGAGATGTTTGTAGGTAGTTCATCTTCTGAAACACCGCACAATTAAATGTCTCCTTCCCGAAAATTCCTACCCGCCCTGGGAGTATTTCTTCCCTCCCAGTGCTTCTTAGTGTCTTGTCTCTACCTCCCCAGACCATAGAGGGGTGTCTCGTGGCCAGGAGGTTAAAGTCACACTTTTCCCTCTTTTCTCATCCACTCACGAAGCTTCACCCTACCCACGTCAGCTCGCTTAGCTTCCCAGTCCGACATCCCCCAGGCTCCGCCTCCTTCTGCAGTTCCACCTATCAGCTTAGACAAAGTCGTAGACTCCGCCCCTTCCCATTCGCACCTGCTGGCTCTAGAGGTGAACTTAACTTTTGGGGTTGCAAGGTGCAACCTCTGCTTCCAAGGAACTTACAATCTAGAAGCAGAGAAGTACTGATACATAAATAAGATAAAATGGTACAGGCAACTTAAGTTTACTTAACATAGTCTACCTGGGAATCACGGAGAGCTTTTCTGATGCCTGAATTGAGTTTTGAAGGAAGATGGCCTTTACCCTAGTGGAGAAGGATGGGACTAAATCAGCATAAGCAAAGGCACTGAGAAGTTAAATGTAGAATCTGCTGGAACCGCAAGAATTTTGGACATCAAATTTAAAGGGCAATTGGAGTGTATCTAGGAATACAGCGGTAAAGGTAGGCTGGGGCTGGGTTATGGAAGAGGGCCTAGTATGCCATGCTAATACCGTTTACTTACAGTTCTGTTGGCAACAGGAAACTATTGGAAGCTTTTAAGTTGAGGCTTGTTGTGGTTGTATTTGTGTTTTAGGTAAATTACTCTGGTTTGCAAAATAAGGGATAAAGCCTGAATATCACCATCTAGGTGGGAAGTTGCAAGGATTTAAACTGTCGCAATGAGAGTAGGGATTGAGAAAGTAACATCAGCCCTGCAATTACTCAGACTGTGATGTACACATACAAGGCCAAGGACAAGACCAAGAAAAAAATGATTCTCCCAAAGACACATTGCAGCTGCAAAATGATTAATAACCTGCCTTTTGAGAGATTGGATAACTTCCCTGGCTTCGCTTTGTTCCTCTCTCCTCCAAATCAAAATTACTGAGCTACTCAGTGACTAGACTGGCCCCTGCTTCCCCTAGTTCCTCCTTGGAATCATTCGGAAGCCCAAATTCTGCATAAAGCCTTGCCCTCCTTCCTCTTCCGGAGATACTTGGAGTGACACACCTGGACAAGTTGACCTTGTCCAGCTCAGAGCATCCGTTATTAGGGACATAGGTTTTGGAATTGGAATGACTGGGAAACTCAAACCTTGAATTTCTGATCTTGAGTAAATTCCTTAATGTCTAGACCTCAGTCACCTACTCTGTAAAAATCAAGAGAGTAATAATAGTTCCCAGAGTATGCTACATGTTGGCATAGTGCCTGGCAGTAGTGTCCACGACAGTCGCTATTATATCATCATCGGGGTGAAAACCTCCCAACCCTCTCAAGAGTGGGTTAGGTATTTGTCCTGCATGTGTTCCCAGCACAAGTATTTCACCTTTCATAACACCTATCACACTATATTGCACTTTGTTGCTTTCACAAGTCTGCTTGCACTAAATCTTAAACTCCTTGAAGGTGGAGAGTTGACAGTTGTATCACCAAACTAGAGAATGTACTGAGTGGCACACAATGCAGCTGTGCAAATCACCAATTTTGCTGTTTCCTGTGACCAGGACTTATGCTGAGAATTACTGCCATTCTGAAAGCTCAGTGTTTGGGTTGCTGTAACATTTCTTATGAATTACGCCAGACTTCCACGTAGTAACAATAAGGAAGAATGTCTTCTAAGAAGAGACTCCTAATTAAAAAGGGATACAGATTTAGATTTTATTATGATTTAGAACGAATGTAAGTCTCCTTTTATAGGAGACATTTATCTTCAGCAATTAACCTCTGAATCCATTTTCATGAAAAAGTTAACTTCATTACAGAAGTTACTCTAAAAGCCAATTTCATTTTCAAACTATAGTTAGCATCATTTGAATTGATAAATCATAAGATAAAAATAAGGTGTGTAAAAATTTAGAGCAAAGATATATTCTGCTATGATATTCCAATAAACAGAACAAAGTTAACCTTTATTCTACAATAGAATAAAATACATGTATTCTACATGTATTTTCTGTTTTTCTTGGTGTCTGAAATATATCATCTACTTAATCTCAAGTATGTATGTTTTAGTTTATCCCCCCTCTATGGAAAAATGCCTAAATTTTTATTTTATATTGTCTTTAGAAAAGAGCTAATTATTTTTTAAAAAAAGAAAGAAAATAGCTAATTATCTAAAAAAGTTAAAGAAAGTATTTTACTTATATAAATGATGTCATAGATAATGCTATTGCTAAATATGAGTCTTAGTTATTATAAAGTGACCAAAGAATGATCCGTAAATGTATTTTTTGTTTATTGCAAGCAAAAAAGGAGAGCAAGAAAAAAAGGTTTATTCTCCAAATGCCACATTAGAACTCTTTCCATTAGGTTTTTTTTTGGCTCTAGTAGGACAATGGTAGTAGAATTCATTCAGTGGTCAATGCAGAAGTCCTCAGGAAAGAACATTTCATCCCTTACCTACTACTAATTTCAGTATTAGTCATCAGATTTTGTATATTATGTGTATTATATACTTTATTCTTACAATACAGTAAGCTAGAGAAAGGAAGAACATCACAAAGCAAATATATTTATAGTATTGTACGTATTTATTGAAAAAAAATCCATGTATATAAGTGGTCCTGTATAGTTCAAACCCATGTTGTTCTAGGGTCAACTGTACATCCTTTGTATCTCTAAGATGTGAGGGTAAGTCGGGAGTTCTGTACATTGGTTCTCACTCCAATTTGGAAGATTCACTGCAGTAGAATTTTGCACTAAGAGTTTGCAAGAGGCCTAAGAAGGAAGCCTGTGTGCCCGGAATAATGCATACCTTGTGCGTTTACCCTTTTAAAGATAACTATGGTTTGAAACAGATCAATTGTATTAAGGTAACAAACTTTTTCCCTACGTTTGCATTTTTTTTAAGAATTGTATTCATTTACGGAGGCATACTTGCTTCCCTTTCCCAGAGAAGGCATGCACCCTAGAAGCAAATGCCTTCACCCACACTTCACCCCCTTTAGAGCAGAGATATCCCCCTAAACTTATACATCCAACTCCAATCCTATCTATTTTTCCTACTGAATTTATTATTTATTTGTAATTGTGGTAAAATACACATAAAATTTATCATCGTAACCTTTTTCAGTGTACAGTTCAGTGGTGTTAAGTATATTTATCCAACCCTATCTTGCAGACCAGATGACTAGCATGTTAATGAATGACATACTACTAGTTAATGCAATATTGAGTCTGTACCCACTCTTACAGGCAATCAGAAACATTTCAAGACATTTACAAGTAAGGACAACAATGGTGTGGATTCCTCGGAATACATAGAATTATCTAGATTTTAGTCTGCCTGACAGGTCTCTCCTAATACCGTAGCAAAAGTCTTCTAAGCCACCGTATAAATTGGGAGATTTATGTTGATCATCTGCTTTGCATAGAACCTCTACTAAAGAAATAAAGTTCAGTTTTAAAGGGAAGCCAAGATAGTTCTGTCATTGTGGAAAATGTTATCATATTCTATGAAATAGTGTACAAATAATGCAAAATAATACTATATACTATAGCTTTATATTACTAATCATTTGAAAAGTACTTCTGTGAATATATCATAAAAGAATTCTGAGCTCTATGTACTTCAAGCATTTTCTTTAAAATGTTCTACACTGCATATGCTTTCTATATGATCAAGACTTTAAGTAAAATATCTGATCTTCGGAAATGCACAAGGATTTCCAGATAGAAGTAAATCTGTATTTTCTTAGAACTACACATTTTTTCTGTATCACGAATTGATAGTAAGTAAGTAGCATATCACGTACTAGTAAGATAACTAAAGATTGGGGCAAATGTGCTCATTCAGAAGGCTTTATAAAAGAAAACTCATTCATGATTTGAAATAAAATATACCTAAAACCATGGCCAATGTTCAGCCAGGAAGTACCTGTCTGGGCCCCATGGCTATTTCTGAAAGGCCTTCTGAAAGGGATGATATTTCATCATCCCTACTTATAACTCAACAGAACCACTAACTAATAAACATAAAAACATAGCTCAAAAATGTCAGACATAAAAAGATGTTATGGTAACCAACAGGTTGCTATAAAAGAAACTTGTGTCTCTTGCTGCCACTTTAGTGATAAACATTCTCAATAAAGACTGAAGAGGCCCTGCCACACCAAGAAATACACATCTTTAGTTAGTAGTATTAAATGCAGGTGTTTAGAATAGTCTTAGTTAAGAATTTTTTAAAAGCTAGTATGTATTAAAGCAAAATAGCACCTAGATATGGGTGTCTTAGGAGGTCACTTGGCTGGTCGACGGCTTGGGTTTCGCTTGTATATTCAGCACATAGTCATGACGGAAGGATGAGCGGACAGTGCGATTCATTAGGGGCTGAAGAGGGCGGAAGTTATCCACCATTCTTTTCTCTTTCTCCCCCTTGGAAGTGAAAAGCAGGGTCCGAAATTGTTCAAGCTAGAAATGGAAACAGGAAGCATAAATAATTACAATAGAAAAACAGCTTCACTTCATGAATAAATTACTTTCACTTTTATAACTCTGAAACATTCGTCTAAAATTACATGCACGACAGAGAGTAGATGTCGTTGTATGGAGAAAACAGCAGGAGTTGGTGAAACCAGCCAGGCACTTGGGATCCAAGGACTCGGGGTCAAAGGCCCTGTCCCCCACATAGTAGCCATTTGCCAAGAACAAGTTACTTCATCTTTGATTGCAGGCACTTCATCTTGCATTGGGCAAAACAGCAGCCTACAGGATGATAAAGGAATGGCCTGGTGCATGGAATAACAGTGCCAAAAATGTTTTGCTTTTCCAAAATTTAACTGAATCGTTAACAAGAACAATGTATTCTTGATTGCTTATTACACCTGGGCATTGTGGGCAAGGTGATGCATGTGATGTCTTAACAGGCAGTGGGATACCCCGCCGACACTGTTCAATAGAACTTTTTCCACGATGATGACAATACCCTCTGCATGGCTCACTAGAGTAGCCACAAGCTACAAATGGCTACGGATCTCCTGAAACGTGGCTTGTGTGACTAAGGAAGTGAATTTTAAATTTAATTTTGATTTAAATGGCCACGTGTGGCTGGCTAGTCAGTGGCTAAGTATTGGACAGGGCAGCTCAATACAAAAAAAGCAATCCACATTAACGTGGCAATAGCATCCATCAATCAGTAGTAGCCCTTGGCTTTCTGAGCGAGTTGGAAAACCGTTAACCTTGTAGCTCAGAGAGGACAGCCTGAGACACAGAAGGCAAGCCTGTGAAGACTGCTTTGGATTAAAGACTTTAGGCCAAGTATAGCTGAAGAGGCAGGACTGTAACCAGAGGCAGGCGCCAAAAATGATCATACTTATAAATGACACATATACCTTCATTAATTAGGAACGTGTCCAAGTAACTAAGGTTTAGTTTTATTCAACAAATTGCAAAGATTAGAAATAGCCTAAAAATCAATAAGTTACATTAGATCTATAAACTGGACTAGTATATAGCCGTTAACAGTGATGTTAAAGATAATGTTTATTATCTATAAAACATTCCACACATCACTGAGTGAAAAGAGCAGCAAAATGGTATACACAGAAAGATTCCATTTTGTTTTAAAAGTTATGTCTATTTATACAAGTAAAAGACTAGAAGGATTTACCCAAACAGTGATTCGCACTAAGTGGTTAGATTATAGGTGACTAGTATTATAGATGACAACTCTACCTTTTTTCCTCACAGAAATTTTCCATGCTGAAATTTTATTTCTAAAGTCTTCCATATGGGCCACTGACCTTGTTGTTTATTTAATTTTTTTTTTCAGTGTTATGTCAACTTCTAAATAGGAAAGATAGAAGCAGATTAAGTGTATAGGCCGCTAAGTCAGGCGTTGGGCAGTCAAAATCTACATTTTATCATTTTATTGTGGATTTCATCACACGCAATTAAAAAAAAAATACACAGCCTAATTTACTAGTTGCTTCCTTTACGACTTCTGGTTTTGATAGAAAAGCTTCCTCCATTTGAAGGTGAAGGGGAGCAGAGTTTGTGACCCCAAAATATGCCTTTGGCATAAGGAATATTTGAGCTGATAACTTTTATGAAACTGCAGACACAGGAGCCCTGAAAACGGAGTAGAAGTTACCTTTTTGTAAGAGACAGTTACATTTATAAGAGAAATCTCCATTTGTAAGGGTGCCTCCCTCTCCGTACCAGGAAGAGAATGACTCTAAATCTCTAGAATCACTCATCAATGGAGAAGGACTTAAATCTGCATAACAGTCTTACCCTTGTTTACTGTGTTTTCCTAGTAACTGCCCCTAACTGCTTCCTCATCCCCAACATCTTCCTTTGTCTTTAGCTGGAGATGGTATTTAAGGTGCTGGCTTGGGCCATTTGGGGGATTTACTCAGTTTTCCTGAGTCTCTTCCACGTAAACAGGAGGAATCCATGTTATTAAACTTCTTTTGTTTTTTTCCCAGTTAAACAATATCTATCTCTCTCTCTCTCCCTCCCTCTCCCTCTCCCTCTCCCTCTCCCTCTCCCTCTCTTCTTCTTCTGTGCTCTCTTCTCTCTCTCTCTCTTCCCCCCTTCTTATTATCCTTCTCCCTCTTCCCCCCTCCCCCGCTTTCCTTTAGCAAACATTAACAATTTTTTTAAGGAAAGCCAGCAAAGTAAAGTTCACTTGGGAGAAAATCCAAACGGGCAGCTCGTTTGGAGTGCAAATCTGTCTTTTTTATTATAGGAAGTTCTCAGCCAAGCACCTAGAATGGCAGAAGGAAAATTATTTTTCCTCCCGCAGAGGTGTATGAAGAAATTTTCCTATCTTTATCCTAGTACTTTTATGGTAATATTTTTAACATTTAATATTTCTGGAATACACTCTTGTATAAGGTATGGTGGATCCCTCCTTTTTCCCCCGATAAATATCTGCTCAGTTGACCCTCAACAGCATTTACTGAAAAAAATCTCATCTTTTCCCCCCGACTTAGCTGAGTGCTACCTTTATCATAAACTAAATTCTCATACGTATTTGGACATATTTCTGAGATTACTATTTTCTTCCCTTGATTGATCTCTTCGTGTGCCAGTACCACACCAATTATTGGAGAATAAACAATTCACAGAGAGTAACACTCAAGAACTGACATCAAAGGCATTTCATGATGCCTTCCTATTCAATCACATGGTATGATTTTAAGAATTCAAGTCTTTTTTGTGTCTCTCAGAAATGTTTTAAGTTTTCTTGTTAACTTTTCTTGTTAAGCTTATACCAAGGTATTTTATATACTTTTGTTTATATTATAATTAGTGTCCATTATTCCATTATATCTTTGTATCATATCTTTTAATTGATTGTAATTTATAAGTCAAATGTATTGATTTCTAGAGGTTAATATTGTACTCCACTAATTAAAAAATTATCTTTCTAGTAGTTTTTTTTTATTGTTTCTCTAAGTTTTTTTTTTTCTTTTATGGTCTCATTGTATTGACTACTTCTAGAATATAATTTAATATAAAACTAATATGGTAATTATCCTTTCTATATTAAGTATACTATTTACTCTAGAACTGAGATTAATCTCTTTTATCGAGTTAGAGAAGTCTCCAGTCATTTCTATTTTATTGAAAATTTTAAAAAACTGAATGGTGAATTTTGCTAATGGCTTTTAAGAATCTATGGAAATGGCTATATGATTTTTCTATTTACATTCACTGATATGCTGAATTATATTAATATCATTCTTAATAATAAACTATCCTTGCATTATTGAAATAAATACTACTTGGACAAAGTTATATATTTCTTCTAATATACTACAGGATTCTGCTTCTGATGTATTATTTTAGCCTTTTAAAAATATATTCTTCAGAGATATCAGTCTGTAATTTCCTTTCTTTTTTTCTTTGGGTCCAATCTTTGATAGGTATTGGTATCAGTTATCCTGGCTTCAAAAAATAAAAAAAGATTTTGGAAGCTTCTGTTCATGTGAAGATGCTTGGTAATTAATAAGTCCCATACAGCAAGTATAAGCAAGTATTATTGTAGTTTAGTTATATTATGACTTAAACAGGATTTTGTGTATTGATGTAGTAATCACCACTTAAACTTAGTTTCTAAGGAAAAATTAAGTTCCAAGTTCAAAACAACTGACTTAAAAGTTCTAGACAGACATTATTGGATTCTGTTTTCATCTTGAAATTCCAGAGCAAAATTACCTTAAGAAAATTGAAGGGTTTTGAGCACATCCATTTCCAGCCTTCATTCTTCCCTTGAAAAGGGTCTTGTTTATATAGAGATTCATATTTATATATAAAATACACAATGTGTAAAACATGTCACTGTCAAGAATGAAAGTAAAAAGGTTATGTTTTTCTCTGTTTTAACTCCTCTCTCTAGTTAATCTGAAGCGTTTCCTAATTCACACCCAGATCAAGACACGAGCACATTTTAATAAAAAAGTACAAGCCCTGGAAGATGTTAGAGACTTACAAAACCTGACACCAGAGTTTGAGCCCAGACCTGCTGGAACGGCGCAGACCAGCCTTCCTTACGTGGGAACAGGGCACGAACGTACCTGATCATGATCGACCTCGACGGGCTGCTTCTTAATGATCCAGGTGACGGACTCGGAGAGAGGCGGCGTGGTCAGGGATCCTGAGTAAGTCCAGTAATCCGGGCAGGTGGGCATCAGGCAGGAAGGGTCGAATGACCCAAATTCCACAAGGGCGTCCTGGCCAAGAGAGGGGTCACCAGCTATCATTTCATGGGGAAAAGCACTCAGGAATCACATGACAAGGGGTGATTCCAAGAGTGTCTGGGGACCCGCAGCGGTCCAGAGGAGTGCCCTAGAACCTGAGTCACACCCTGCTGTGTCCCTGCAGTTAAGGGTGTACTTCTGACACTGCTCAGTGGGAACACAGCAGAACCCATTTCCTCCCTCCATTCTAGTGAGTTTCCAGCGGGTGGGCTCCTCTGAACTCTTTGGGAGGCATCAGGTGCGGCCTGGTGCTTAAGGAAGGAGGCTTCTCTTTTTCAATCCTCCTTTCTAAGACACAAGGCGAATTAGGAGCAGCCAGGATCCTGCCTAAAAGGGGAGAGAGAGAGAGGAGGGAAGAGAAAAGGGGGAGACGGAGAGGCAGGCAGAGGGGAAGAGAGAGGGGGTGGACTTCCGGGGAGCAGCCCCTGTGGGATTCTGCACACTGAACAATTAATCTTGAAGCTGGACAAAGGCGTCTGACCTGAAGGCTATGGGTTAACTGCTCTTTAAGGGCGGACGAGCCAGGTCTCTGTCCAACGTGCCTCTGCCCCCTGCCTGAGGGAGGGCAGCCAGAGTCAGAAGGCTGCTCTGAGTGTTTCCACAAGGATTTACAAGGAGCGGCTGTCGGGAGCAGAGGAGGGGGCAGCACTATGGTCCCGAGTCCCCAAGTGCCCAGTGCCATGGCAGCAAAACCAGAGCGACCAGTGCCCACCAATGGAACCACTTCTGTATCCTGAAAGGTGGGCCAGGGCCAGGGTTTCTCTCAACACACCAGCATCATAAATGGCCAACTGTCTTCTAGGCGACTTTCAAGGAGAACTTGAATTACACTGAAATTAATTACATTTTCCAGTTCAAAATGCCTTGTTAGTATTTCCTCCGAGAGTGAAACATAAAATATATTTCAAGTGATTTAGGAAAAACACATTACCTTATGCTTGATTGATGGCAAAGTATCTACCAATTTCTGTAGCTCTTTATGATGTTTGCCTAGCTAAAGAAGCAATGAGAAAATATTAAAAACAATTGACATCTCACTTCTGAAACTATAAAAATGTGAATTAAATTTAATCACTTGGTTATATAAAAACAAACCAACCACGTGACTTAAACTACACTTAAACTAGTCATTTAGAATGTTATAAATATCACTGAATTAAATTCAAGACAGAACGCATGAGTGGGCTGTTTGCTGATAGGGAAGGGGCCCCTGCTCCAACACTTAAGTGTCAGTTCTTAAATTGAAATTTAAGTTAATTAAAATTAAAAACAGTTTCATAGTCAAAATAGCCACATTTTAGGCGCTCAATTGCCACATGTGGCTTATAACCACTCTACTGAACTGTGCGATTTTATACTATTTGAAATATATTCATAACAATCTTGTATATTTTAACCATTGTTTATTTTTACCCCAATATTCATAGAACTTAACACTGTAGCGTGGTACCTTTTCATCCTGGAAGACTGTATACACATCACTTAAAGCTCGTAAGACATTTTTACCTTTAAAAATACTCCTATCACAGCCAAACCATTTTCTTCCAGAGCTGCATCCTCAAAGGTTTCAAATTTCACTGCATTCCAATGTACCAAGTGCAGCTGAAACACCATGAAAAGATGCTTTGACACGTGACCACATAGGATCGCTCCAAACCAAACAGACAGCCTTATTTAACATATATTTTAACATGTTTCCTCACCCAAAATAAAGCCACTGGGAAAAGCATACAACGATATGATGTAAAATGAGATAGAAACAAAGAACAAGCAGAAGTGTATACGGCAACAGCAATTATTATTACTTTGGAATAGAGTGATTTATTTTAGGAGAAAAATAGAATATATATAGCAAAGTGAGTAACATTTCAGTGAGGAAGCAACATTTGTCCATTCCCATCCTGATATGCATGAAACACTCATATTGCAAATCCACTTGCATCTAAAGGAGAGATGTTTATCTTGAGAGAAATAAATTCTCCCTATGGGAATTAGGCAAGAATTGAAGACACATTTCTTTAAGAGAGAACCACTTAAAATGTGTTTCTTTTTAAGGTAACATTTAAAAGTAAATTAGGGGGAAAGTTGTAAGAAAAAATTCAATTTACTTATATGCTCCTTATATTTCCCTGCAGATCATTCCTCATCCATCATTCATGACTGAATCATTACCAGCTTGCCAAGTGAGACCCTCACGGTCATGGTTGCCTCACCTCGCCTTGCCTGGCCTCCCTACCGCCTGCCCCCCACCTCGACCCGCTCCCCAAGATGACCCAGCCTTAAGTCCTGTTGCTTTTATTTCAGAAACACTTGCCAACCTTGCTCTTTTTCTCTATTTCGATTGTCGTGGCCTTCCTTTAGGTTCCCGCCCTCTGTCACTTTAATTAACTGGACCTGGTGGCCCTGCATTGTTGCCTGGATTTTTTTTTTTTTTAACACCTACAGCACCTGGTCTTCCTAGGTGGTCTCCCACCCAAGTACTGACCAGGCCCGACCCTGCTTAGCTTTCGAGATCAGACGAGATCGGGCATGTTCAGGGTGGCATGGTCGTAGACTGCCTGGGTTTTTACTTTAAGCTACGATTTGAGCCTAGCCTAGAATTCTGAAAAAAAAAAAAATACTATTTAGGAATCCTAAGGTTCACTTCTGCTATATTATTTGAGGTGAGGGCAGTTATCATTTTACATGTAATAACTGGAAATAACCTAATATGCCCCCAAGAGAACTATTTAGATTTATAAGGAATCACCTGCTTCTTTCTGACAATTTCTTAAAACCAGAAACTCAGAACTATCCCCACTTCTCCACAGTTGTCACTGTTCCCAAGCTTCTCAACATACCTCTGCTGGGTAACATTTGCTGTCCACAGTATGCTCGGAGCCCCAGGCATCGATGGCCCCCCAGTGAAAATGGAACTGCTTCAGTCGGTAGTTATGTTCCAGGGGTCCTCCCTTGATCACTGAAATGGCATATCCAACAATTTAGAGGACAGTTTTTCACGCCGTGGATGATTGGAGGGAAAAGGCTAAATCTGTGGGCGGACCTTCTATATGAACTGTCTTAGATGGAGCACACTCTATTACATACAAGTGTTTCTAAACTTGATTCTCACACACTTAATACACGTGTAAGAGGAGAACCTGCACTTTGACTGACACCAAGATCTAACTACACTCCAGGCTACATGCAATTGTTAAAGGCCAATTTTTGACTTATTTTTATGTTCTATATTTACTGTGCCCAGGTATTTTTGTGGGTACAGTAAAATGCAAATTTCTTTCAACATATCATCTAATCCAATCTCATAAAACTTAAATATGGGGACAAAAGATATTCTCTTTCTTGTTTATGCACTGATACTTTGCTCTGCAATTTCTGAAGATACTAGTGTTTTTTTTCCATTGAGATGGAATAGGAAATTTACAAGTTAAAAATTATTACTCATCTGTTTTTGGACGGAGTAAACAATGTGAGTCATCCACACACTTCACCACTGGCTTCACTGTGTTGGATAATAAATACCTTTTGTTTAGACTCAAGTTTTCTAGAACTAATGAAATCAATACGTTATAGTATGGGTAAAAGATTCACATACAAATTTTTTAAGTCACTTTTCCTGAGAGTTTTGGGTGGTGCTGGTTTTTTGGTGTTTTGTTTTGTTTTGTTTTTTGCTTGAATTCGCTAAAGCATATTAGTTCCTCATTTCTTCCATCTAATCCAACCCTGTAATGTCTGTCCATGGTTAAACAAATATAACACGAAAGCCATCCACCTCATCTATCTTAATGACCTTTAGAGTTTAGTGCATTCGATCCCAACAACCAAGTACCCTGGATATGTCATGCAATGGTCTGCTTTTGAAAATAATTTGCCTAACTTCCTCTTTAAAAGGAAGGAGTTTTTTAAGAGGTGAGTGAAGTCGCCGATGACCACTTTTCTTCGGGGGACAGGGGAGGTGTAGAGAATACCACGCGATTCACTAAATTCATAGGATAGGTACTAAAAGTGTACTGATATAAAAATAAAATGTCTCCAACAGCCGCTCGAGTGAGTTTGGAAGAGGATCCTTTGCCAGAGAAGCCTTGAAATGAGACCCATTCGTGGTTGACACCTTGATCACAGCCTAGTGACAGACCCAGCTAAGCTGCACCCAGATTTCCCACTCCTCAGCGCGGGCCGCAGAACTCCCCGTGAATCGGCTCCTGCCAACATCAGGATTTCCTCGTCTGCCGCTTCCTTCTTGTATTAGTAACACCTAATACAAGCACCACACTGCCTCACACGCTCACCTCTGCATAGACAGCCCAGGTGTCACCTCCACCGGGAAGCCTTCTCCCACCAGACCCCACGGGCACACTTTCCTCCCAGTGTTAGGCGATTCACATTAGCATCGTCTCTTCAAGGGTCTGTCTCTCCAGCACACCGTGAGCCTCTGAAAGGCAGGACCATCCCTTCTTCCTTTTTCTATTCTGAGCACCTGGCACAGTGTCTGACACTTAGGAGATCCTTAATGTAATGAGTCACTAAAGAAATAGACTGTAAAGTGTCTGTTGGGTTTGTTAGTCAGGTGGCACAGATGTGTGAATGAGAGGGGCAGGTAATTGGCAAGAAACGGGGCAGAGAAGGGAGGCAGAAGACAGTGAATTAGCAGAGCAGTGGTAAGATATATCAAATAATTACATAATTATTTATTTGAAGTTGTTGATATTTTGTTCTCTTTGTACTCTAACATGAAACGGGATTAAACTTGTAAAAAATTAGATAATATAAAACACCTAGGATAGTGTCAGGCTGATGGTAAACAGTGTCTGCAGTGTTCACTCTGCTTTTAACATGGAGGTGAGGGAGCTAGCAGAGAAATAGATGGTGAGGGGAAAGGTCACACACAGGTCTCGTACTAATAAAAGTAAATGCAGGAATAGGCATGAAGCCTTTTGGGGAGATGAAAATGCTCTAAAATTGGATCGTACTGATGGTCACACCACTCTGTAAATTTACTAAAAAGCATTATGTTGTTTCTTCCAAAAAAAAGTGGATGTAAGACGAAAAATAGGGAAGGAGAATTTAAAGTGTTTGTGAAAGCATTCTTAGTAAGTTCATTGTTGATGCCCCCTAAAAGTTAAAGTAAGTGAAGGCAGATAGGGCAGGAAGCATTCTCAGGAGATCAATGGGACTCATCTCTCCTTCTCTTTAATGCCTGGTGACATTGCTGAAGAGAGAAATTTTAGAGGAGGTGATAATTTTCAGGAATCATCCATGGGACTCAGCCCAGGCACAGTTCAGTGCCCTTCCCCCCAATATTTTGCATCCCTCACATGCACTTACTAAAATCAACAGCTGCGTCCTATTCAGGGGAGCCAAATAACAAAACAATACCCAGCAGAGACCGGTGGTATGAGATGCTCACATACCTTCTCTTATTATCCTTTTAATTTCTGTAAGGCTGGTTACGATGTCCCCTCTTTCATTCCTGATTTTAGTAATTTGAGTCTTCTTTTATTTTTGTTCCCTTGGTCTACCTAGCTAAAGGCCTGTCAATTTTTGTGGATCTTTCCCAAAGAACCAACTTTTGACTTCATTAATTTCTGCTCTTGATCATGACCTTCTGTTTGCTTTGGGTTAAGTTTGTTCCTTTCTTTGTCCTTTAAGGTAAAAGGCTAGGTTATTGATTTGAGAAATTTCTTCTTCTGCAATATGGGCATTTTCATCTATAAATTTCCCTCTGAGCACCGCTTTTGCTATATCCCATAAGGTCTGGTATGTTTCGATTTTGTCACATACCTTCCCCAGCTCTTTTCCTTGCACAATTGATCCCTGGTTCTTTGCAAAGCGCGCTGTAGCCGCACTTCCTACTTTTATTTTGGGGGGAACTTTATAGACATTAATATTTATTAGATTCTTTTCTAGGATTAGAGTTGTTTCTTGCCTTTCTTCCTTTCTAGGATGTCATTGCTTTCTTTTCCTTTTTCTTTATTTTTTATGTTCATTCTTTCTTCCTCTTTGAATGCTATCGATTATTTTGCAACAGCATGGAGAAATAGAAGTGAAGACTAAGCAGGAGATAGGAGGCAGTCACTGAAATGTAGAAGGAGAAAGAGAGTTAGGTACTTGTTAAAGATTAATGGTATCTTAAAGAAAGTAATTGTTAAATCGTAATGAAAAGGGATTCTCTATTTTGGTCCTTCCTGACAAAACAAGTGGAGAATCAGCAACCTCTCTACAATTTTTCTTGCATATTTTATAAAAGGAGTGTGTCTGACTCTCCTAGGGAAGGTAAGATCAAAGAATTATTTAATTAATTGTATTTGGGGGTATCTAAAGAGCTCTTATAAGGAACATGTTGGTCATCTGTTTTCCATATGAGATTGCCCATGCAAACGGGTGGATAAGAATTCTTGTATTATTGTTCAAAAGAGAAAACATGACTAAAAAATAAAATAAAAAGCTATTTGCCTTGAATGATCTTGGGATTAACTCACTTCATTAAGAAACCCATTAAACAACTTTCTAAGATTTCTAACTCAATGAAGCAATAATATATTGGCAACAGTCCCTAGACTGTCAAGGTCATTAGAAGACTGACTACTCTTTAGGACCCTCGGAAGAGAAGAAAGAAGGTTGCCAAGGACCCAGCTGGGATTGAGACTAATTAATTGAGAGGGTTGCTGTGCATCCAGAGTGAACGTATGAGAGTTGGCGTTCTCTAGATTGAGTCTGCCCACTAGTCCAGTTCTGGCAGGAGTAACGGTAGAGCTCTACGGGAGACAAGCAGAGTTTGCTACATGCAAGATGGTCACGTGGAACACAGGACTTCAGCATGCCGTTTTCAAGATTTCTGAAATCCTTATACGAAATGTAATATTACAGGCTTCCAGTTGAGATGGGGACACACTCTAGGGTTTTAGAAAAATTAAGAAAGATACTGATAAATCTGGAGAAAAAGGAGTAATTTCTTCTTAGTTCGAGAAATGTAAATAAGATGTTCAGGGTTTGGGGGTCTTGTGATACCATGGAAGAGAAAGAAGAAAATGGGGGACAACATAGAAACACCTAAGCCCTTAAGGTCAGACCCGAATCCTTCCTGAATAACAGCAGAGAAGCATGTCAGAGAAAAGAGAACCAGAGACAGATTAGATGAACGCCAGCGGAGGATCAGTCTGTTTGCAGTTGGGCCAGAGGGCCGTGTCTAAGTATCTGGGTATCACTAGAGAGACGCAAGGAAAACCAAGACACAGTTGAGAACCCTAGAGCCAGGATAAACACAGGAGTGAACACTTCCACTTCTGCGTTAAGTTCATTCACGAACACTTTCATGAACTCGCTTCCTCATATTCATAAGAGGAAGTTCATTTTCTTTAGATCAGGGTTTCTCAATCTCAGCTTTATTGATATTTGAGGCTGGATAATTGTTCGCAAACGCTGTCCTGTCTATTGTCAGATCTTCAGCAACATTCCCGACCTTGACTCACTAGATGTTGGTCACGCTATCGCCCTCCAGTTGTGACGACATAAAATGCCTGCAGACGTTGCCAAGTGTCCCCAGTCCCTGGGAAGGAAGAGGTGGTAACATTGCCACTGGTTGATAACCCCTCCTTAAGCCTTGAAATACACTATTTCAAATAATAATTATTTCAGACTAATTAGGACTATTTGATACCATTAAATGTGGTTTGAAAAAGGGAAAAACAGAAAGAAAACCTGCATAGAATTAATCACATTCTGTTTTCAATACACACTAAAAGCTTTAGGCAAGCTTTAAATCATTCAGATGAGTTCATGTCTAGGTAGGCTAAAAAAAGATTAGTTCATCTACGAAGGAGAAAAAAAAAAAAAAAAAAGAAGATGCAAAAGCAATATAATGTTTGAATTTTAAAGTGTTTTTAAAATTCTGTTATTTTTTAAATGAAGTATCATTGTTTAATTAACAAAATTAACAGAATGCAAGATTCCATTTTCTGACATGCAACTATTCTTAACTACTTAAGACTGTAACCTCATGCAAACACGAATATTCTTTTCGCCCCATTTCAAAGGTATTGAAATCTGATCAGTTAAATCTGATTAAACAGTATTACTACTTAATATAAAAGTGTCTTGTAAACTTACTGAGCAGGGAAAATCACTTTATATTCATAAACACATACAAAATAAATTTTGGACAAAGCTTTAATTTATTTCACACCTTATTTCTATATCAATTATGAATCTATACTTAGAGATAGGCATATTTATTAATAAAAAGTACTCTATACTAGTAGGAGAAAATGTGCATAAAAACTAGAAGGGACTTTTTTCATACATTGAAAAAGTAAGTCCAATGAGTCCTGTTACTGCTAACGAAAGAGGTCTGCGCTGCCATAGAGGCAGCGTGATGTGGCCTGTGCCAACACAACAGTGTACCCTTAACTCAGATGAGCCTACCAGTATGGCTCTCACCTGATTTATCTGTAGAATCTTCAAATTCCACGAGGAAAGAATACCCGTTATTCCAGACGTGGAGGCAGGTGGTCGGGTCGTAAGAGATGATGAGTGGTTTTAAGTCAGGATCAAAGACACTGTCCCTCCACCGGATGTTGATGGGTGATTGGCGCTCACCCCTTGGGACCAGGTCCATGCTCTCCCAGAGTGGGTGCACTAGGAGAAAGCACGTCAGGCCTGCCATCAGAATGTGCCCTCTCCGGGATCACACACCAGGCCGTTCCATTTGCGGAAAGCCTGTGGACACTAATGATGACTAGAAGTCTCCGAACTTAGCCACTTAGGAGCTTCATGGACTGACGAAAGTAGAGGACATGGACACACAGGTCAGAGAGCCCCTAGCAGAGGAGCCTCTGCTGTCTTGTCAAACTAAAGCCTCCCAGTCGACTTTCTAATTTCGCCTAAACTAAGTGCGACCCAGTCCTGTGATGACAGGAAAACACGTGGAGATTAGCAACATGAGAAAATGGGTCTTCTCAAATGTCTTTTCTTTATTGATAATTTCTTGGGCCCCACCTGCCAAAGTCGTTTTAAACACAGAGAGAAATTAATGCAATTTTCAATAACGGACTTTTTTTTAACAAAGGAAATGGGGGAAGAGGAGGAAGAATTTTTGAAAAGTGAACATTCAACCAAGCATTAAGGTTTTAGTTGTGCAGCTGGTAGAAATAAAGGCTTGCATAGCATGCATCCTATAATTTAGCTTACTATTTTGAAGATTTCTGGATTCCTTACACGCAATGTAATATTATAGGCTTCCAGTTGAGATGGGGGCACACTCTAGGGTTTTGGAAAAATTAAGAAACATACTGATGAGTCTGGGAAGAAAAAGAATAATTTCTTCTAGTTTGAGATATGTAAGTAAGATGTTCAGGGTTTGGGGACCCTGTTGATGGGAAACAAGGTGGGCTGCCCCAAAATCTCTTTGGCATAAAGATTATTTTAGCCTGATTATTTTTAAGAAATGGCTGACACCCGAGAGGCTCTGAAAATTGAGAAGTTACCTTTTCTTAAGACATTTACATATATAATGGAAATCTCCATTTGTGAAGGTGTCTCCCTCTCCGCACCAGGAAGAGGACGACCAAGTCTCCAGAAACTCTCATAAATGGAGAAGGTGACTTCGATCTGCATAACAATCATCCCCTTGTTTACTGTGCTTTTCCTGATAACCTCCCCATAACTGACTCCCCTTCCCCAACATCTTCGTTTGTCTTTAGCTGAAGATGATATTTTGAAGGTGGCGGCTTGGGTCATTCCAGGGAGTTGCTCAGTTTTCTGGGTCTCTACTATGTACCCAGGAGGTATCCGTGTTATTAAACTTCTGTTTGTTTTTCCCCTGTTAATCTGTCTTTTATTATGGGGGAGGGGTTCAGCCTAGAACCTAAGGTAGAGGAAAAATTACTTTTCCTCCCCTACAGTGTCATACCATGAAGAAGAGGAAAATGGGGGATGTAGAGACACTTAAGCCCTTAAGGAGAGGCCCAAACACTTCTAGAATCACGGCAGAGATGTCAGAGCAATGAGGACCAGAGGGAGATGAAATCCACTGGAGGGATTATATGGTCCCATATAAATACGCATGCTGAATTCACTTCTTATGTAAGTGAGCTTTGAGGATTAGGCAGCATTGTGCAAAACCTGGGTAGAATATTAGCATTGCCAAGGATTTTAAGAAATGAGAGAGAAACAGGCAGGTGTGATCATGTGATCGCAGATGTCTGGGGTAAACCTGCTTGCCTGATTGGAGAGGCTTTGGGTGTGAGGTAAGGGTAGAGAGCCTTAGTATCAATTGGTTTGGTTTTCCTTATCAGTAAAATAAGCATTAAGTGCCTCCTCTGTGCCTGGTACCAAGTTCAGCCTGGGCCTGTAGAAAAAGTATAGGACTCAGGCCCTGAAGACCTGGAGTTGACACAGGCCCTTTGAGCAGATAAAGCAAATACACATTACATGAGGCATGGTTGGGTGCTAAACGGGATGAGAGTGAATGCAGGGTGAGTTCAGTAGAAGGAAAGGTAAGAGTGGCTGGAGAAAATATCAAGACCAGAGTTTGGGCAGATGGAGTAGAGGCCGGAACTAGGCTGGTGGTTGTGGGCAAGGCAAGGAAAAGATAAACCTGAAAGATTTTTAGAGAAAAATGAATGTGCTCAGTAGGGTAATATGAAATAGAGATTAAAAGGAGAGTGAAAGCTTCCCAGTGATGGTCTTTGTCATCTTCATTCAATCTGCAAATGATTGAAAGCCAGCTCAGTTCTGGCTTGCAGAGCAGGGGGGAGGCAAATAATTACACGTTATATGTTAGGGGGAAGACAAATAATTTTCCCTCTACCTTTCTGAATTCTTGGCTAACCTCCTTTATAATAGAAGACAGACTAAACAAAGAAAAACATAACTTTAATAATATGGATACCTCCTGCTTACATGGGAGAGACCAGGAAGACTGAGTAACTCCCTGAGATGGCCCAAGTTGCCACCTTGCCCAGACCGAACACTCTCAGACAGTCCTCACAAACTCTGGGAACTTACAGTCTAAATGTCCCTGTGCCACAGTTGTTTCTTCATATACTTTTATGGATAAGCTGCCGCGGTGGCCCTCAGCAGCTGAGCTACTGAGCGCTTGTCAATGAGAATAGATGACATGACATCCTGACACAGGTTACGTCACTCTTATATCAAAACAACTTTATTTATAAAACAACCTCATTCTTAGATCAAAACAACTTCACTCTTAAAAACAACTTTAATTTTTGTCAAAAACAAGTAGATTTTGTGGGGAGCGGGCAGGTAGATGGGTTAAAGGGGGTCAAATATGTGGTGACAGAAAGAAATCTATGGGAGGTGAACACACAGTGTAAACATATATATATGTCTTACTGTTAAAGTGTACAGCTGAAACTTATTGGATTTCATTAACCAATGTCACCATAAAAAAATAATTAATTTTATAAAAGAATTAACATTATCGAATTTATTTTATCATGGTCTTAAGATCTCATGCCTAATTTTTTTCTAATGTGAATATTAGGCTAAATTTCACTAGATGATACACTAAGTGAAGTTGATTTTATTTTCCTGTTGGGTAGTAGGTACAAGGCTTTTATCTTTATTTTATCTTATTACCAGTCTCACAGTTAGGACTGCCAACATTTATGGTCTGCTGCTTGACTTAACAGCAAATAGCAATTTGAGTTGACAGCCAGTGATCACCTGGGGGGAGGGTGGGGACTGAAGGACCAGCAGGGAGCTCAGGGCTCTAGTGAAATGCTGCTTCCCAAATTTGCCAGATCCTCCTCCTTCATATGCAACTTATTCTGCTTCACCCAATCCTAAAAACCGTCAGACAAACACTTGAGGGAGCCGCTGAGACCATAATGATGATGATAAAGATGGTGATGGATAAAACAAGCCCAGGACCACAAGTAGCTGCCAATAGGGCATCCTCACTGTGTGGCCGGCATAGTGAAGGACACCCCAGTGATCTTTTTTAACTGTCAACACTCGGGTCATTCTTGGTCACAAGTGCACACTGGGCCTTCTGCTGGGGTACCGAGCTTCCGGACACAGTGAGTACCGTCTTTAACACCAGGATAGCAGAACAGGACATGCTCAGTGCCCAGGGCAGCAGAGACCAGAAAACAGGGAGGGATGGCGTAATAGGCCCCAAACAAAATCAGACGGTGACTGTCACCTGTTTTTCTTAGTAACTGACAAACAAGAACACCTGATGTGGGACATTAATCAAGGGAAGCCCCCACATCCCTAAGCCACCACTCATTTTTGTTCCTGCCAGCACGAAAGAAACAAAACTATCCTAAAGACAGGAGCACGTCAGATTTTAGAACTATAACTTTCAACTTTCTGTTAAAAAAAGTACAACTTTACTAACTAGGTAAACATGACTATTTTTTTTCCCACTTGAAGCCTTGGACCACAAAGTGCCAGTGTTGAAACCAAGCCAGTCTGGGCAGGAAGTGGGCCGGCTGGGAGGAAGCCACACCCAGCAACCAGAAATGTATTGACTCTGGCCAGCTCATTTCAAAGGAACACAATCAATGTTGGAGGAAACAAAATAAACTCTCAATAAAAATGTATTCGTGAAGCAGTTTCAAGGCAGTGCGTTTAACTAGATGAGCATTACTGAGGAATTCCTTTCATGTGCACATAGGGTCAAAGAGAGTAAACCCTTAGAGGAAACGTTTAAGAACCTAGAACTTTGAAGCCTGTGAAAAGTCTCAGTTAATTCATGGGAAAAGTGGAAAATATATAAAATATGCTTCGCCATTTCATTAAACCCATCTCTCCACCAACACACACATTATCCTCTCCTATCACCCCAGGGGGTCTCTACCAGGTTTATTTTGTCCCTCGGGACATTCAGGAATGTCGACACACTTAGGGATGCCTTCCAACTTCCTACAGTGCACAGGACAACTCTACCCCCATGGCAGTAGTGCCACAGTGGAGAATCCCTGCCCCACGGAGATGCGGATGGTGACTCCTACTTCTGGAGGGCACGAGATGCGACAGGCTGCAGGGAAGACCACTTGATCTGCTGTGTTGACAGCAGAACACACACTTGGTGAGCTGGGCAGCCAGAAGGAACTGCTATTCGTTAACTCGGGAAACAATGCTCCAGAGTGTGAAGCTACTGTTCTGGACTGCTATAAACATTAATATGCAACTTCCAGCACGTTGAGAGTCACAGAAATAATTCGCAGTCTGTGCATGAACCTTAGTAAAAAGACAATTGCTAACAAGAAACAATGAAGAACAGGTTCCAAAGTATTTGCAACTGGGACGTCTCCCTTGTCCTATTTTTGCATGACATCATTTTAACATGTTAAAACCGGTCAAGAACTTTCCCAACTTTACTATGGTAATCATTTTGCAATCTATACGTGTATCCAATCGTCACGTGGAATTCCTTAGACTCGCACAACGTTATATTGCAATTATGTCTCAATAAAGCTGGGGAGAAAGAACTTTCCCCATTTATTTCAGAGGACAAAGAGAGAACAAGTAGTTAATTCTCACGGTTCTTAAGGCATATAAACCCACTTAGAATGCCACTGACATCCTATCTACAAATCCTCAGCACACGGCATTCTCATGAAACAAGCCTCCTGCTCTCTTTAGGGCAGCAGTGGACTCACGGGTTCGGTTCCGCGTTTTGTAAGTGCAGGTGTAGAGGCTGCAGGGCCTCGCTGGCATGGGCCTCGGAATCTGGAACCTTCTCCACAGCAATCTGCATGGAGAAGCTTGAAGGATGGCTCTCAGGCTATTCATCACCGCCATCTTTGGCTTGAAGTGTTGATCAGTTCCCAAAGAACTTGCAGGAACCTAATAACCTAGAGGCAGGAGGACAGAGGAGGAACAGCTGTCAATCGTAGAAACCGACGATCATGTGGCAACCTGTCAGGAGGACGAAACATTCAGACTATTATCCACACCGTGGCGAGGGGGAGACGGAAACAAGAGTCCATAGTTTATCCTCTTGTTCCTCAGACTCAGTGGTCACCTCATGGCAGCGTCCGGATGACTGACTCATGTGCTCAGCCTTTCCCTTGGGGTTTGCAAATATTAGAGGTCCAGAGAAATGATCCTCTTTAAACATAGAAGGAAAAAGACTGTTTACAATACAGCTTCTTAAAATTAAAAAATATTTACTCCACGAAAGCCAAATGGTCCAGCATGGTATTCATATGTGAAAAGCAACCAAAGGTTAAAGCTCCTTCTAGGCAGCCTGAATAAAAAAATCAGTCTGCATGTGTATGGCTTAAGAAAAAAAAAAAAAAAAACCCAAGATACATCCTGCCAAAATAATCATGGGCGGTTTTGAAATCTAAGCTTAAATATAATCTGTGTCTCTGCCAGTGTTAGGTGTAACACAATTTACCTCGATTATGAGGAAAATGGAGGTTAATCCTGAACTAATCTACAAGTAGATTCAATTTGAATATCCATTTATGACCGCACTGAGACCCCCACCCTTCACATGTTCGTCTCAGAAGACAGTGCTTTCCAAGGCACCTACCAGTGTTCTGAAATCATAATGATACTAACTCTGAATGCTTCTTCCCCACCCCTACCCCCCAATACGGCTTCATCCGCTTTTCCTGAAAACTTCTTTCCCCATACCAAGCAAGCATACAAGGTTAAATGAAAAAAAAAAAAAAACAAAAAACCACCTTTTTTTCTTGATTTTATTCACTCCACAATAGATTTCAAGGTGTTTAGAGTGACCACATTTGGACAGCCGTTCAGGACACCATGTAAGCAGCCATGAGTATGGTTTAGCTGCATGGCTGAGTGCCTTAGTCCTCAGGGTTCATGCCTTCCCTGGACCACTCTCCCTCCCTCAGTGCCTGGTTAATTCTATCCATCGTATGACAATCACACGAAACATCACTTCCTAGAAGCCTCCGTTGACCATGCCCTCTCTTGTGAGCCCAGTGCCCTTTCCTTCTTGGTCACGGTGCTCATCACAAATTAATTAGCTCATCAGGAAGGTAAATTGTGACTCCATCTTCCCAGCTTCGAAGCCCCATGGTGGTAGGGACCATGTCTGTCTTGGTCACGGCTATATCTTTTAGGGGCACAGTACCTGGCACATGATGGCTGCTTGATGATCTGAGTAGGGTTCCTTGATGATGGAAAAGACCTTGATCCTAATTTCAAAGCTGAGAACTGTCAAGTGATTGCTAGTATGTTCTTGGACATCATTAAGGGTTTTTCCTTCATCCACATGCCACCATCGCCCATTTGGAGGATTATTTATCCTTTTAAATTATTTACACTTTTAAATCCTTGTATTCTAAGAGGAAGCTCTCATATCCCCACCTATAAGATCTGAAAGACCCGCGAAGTTCTGCCTGATCTGAAAGAGGCACATACCGAAATATGAACCTCACATGGTCATATTCCTGAAAAATCTGCCAGGAATCAATTTTCATTTCAATATTTATTATCGTTTCCTTTGCTCCAGGCCCTGAGTTGGGTGCTGGATGCAAAGATGAACAAGGTCACAAAAAGGAAGCCCTGATCCATGCTGCAATGTGGATGAACCTAGAAAACGTGATGCTGAGTAAAAGAAGCCAGATGTACAAGGTCATATATGGTATGATTCCATTCATAAGGAAATACTTAGAAACGGGAAATCTACAGACAGCAAGCAGTTTGGTGGTTGCCAGGGGTTGAAGGGGGATGAAGAGTAATTGATTAATGGGTACAATTGATTAATGGGTTTTCTTTTGGGGTGATGTAACTGTTTTGGAACTAGATAGAGGTAGTGGTTGAACAACGCTGTGAATGTAATGAATGTTCCTGAATTATACACTTTAAAATGGTTGATTTTATGTTATCTGAATAGTAAAATATGCATCATATGAGAAAGGAAACAACACATCAATCCAGTTCTCGGCAGGTGTTAGTGCCTCCTCAGATTCCACCTCCTGCCTATCAGAGGCCAGGTGCAAATAGACGCAAAAAGAGAAACTGAGAGGGTGCTAAAGACACATGTCGCTTACAGACTTGAACTTTATCATTCATACCATCTTTCCAGGAAGAGTATAACATACAAAGAAAGCGCACTAGGATCCCCAGCGATGCAGAGAAAGAGGACCCACCCACATTCTGATTTCCCCCGCCCCTCTCTTCTACTTCACTGCTATTAACTGGCTGTGAACTAGCTCTTCTTTCCTGTACTGCTGCCCTTGACCCTGCCAGATGAGCTGGACGGAAGCCTAGATCCCAGGAAAAGGAGAGAGAAATCACACCTGAGGTGTGTCCAGTGAAAGCAGGAAGCAGAGCTACTTCCTCTTACTACCCTAAAAGGAACAACTGAGGGCTCCAGGCAGAACTCTTTACAATTAGCTATTAACAAGCCATGTGCCCAGACAAATATTGCAAAATGGGGTGTGACAAGGAGCCAACCTTTCAGCCTGCTGCCATGTGCTCTGTTGTCCACATCACTTTGCCAATGAACTCACTGACCTCAGGGAGTGGAGATGCTTGTCACCACGTGAAAAGGGACTGGTAGGAAGCCTGTGAACCCCACGGAGGCTCCTCGCCTGTGAGCCTAACTCCCCACCTGGGGTCTTTAGGCTACTGACACCTCAAGTATGTCTTCACTGCCAAAAGGGTTGAAAATTCTCAAACCAAGTTAAAATCACTTTTGTTCATCGTAGTTTTATGTGTGTTTGTATATATACATTTCTGCAGGGAGCAGGTATGTCAAAATGTTCCTCAATTCTGTTCTTCTTTCTGTTGACTTCTATTCCTGAATTAAACAATAATGAGCTACTATTTCATGCAAAGCACTGTCCTGGGTAAAGATGAAAAAGTCATATTTTCCCTTCCATTTCCAGAAGCTTGCAATCTACAAGGAAAAATTATTTAAACAAAGAACTTCTGTTTTTTAAATTATCTTTCTATGTTGTGGTAAAACGTACAAATATTTATCATTTTTACCTTTTTGAAGTGTATAATTCAGTGGCATTCAGTACATTCATAATGCTGTGTACCCATCACCAGAATCTATACCCAAGCTTTTTCATCATCCCCTACATAAATTCCACCCATTAAATAACTCCCCACCCCTCCTGATCCCCCAAACCCCAGCGCCTTCTATTCTACTTTCTGTCTCTATGCATTTGCTTATTCTACATACTTCATGTAAATGGAATCACATTAATATTTTCCCTCTGAGTCTGGTTTATTTCACTTAGCATAATTAAACAAATACTTCTTAATCAAAGCCAGATGTAAAGACAGCCCAGACTTAATTCAATGAAAACGTAGGACAGAGGCTCTAAATTGCAGAAGGATGTGACATCTGAATCATGTGTCACAGGAGACAGACAATTTCAACAAGAGGGGCAAAGGCTGAGAGATGGACAAGGATAATGTCAGCAATGATGAGGACATTTAGGGGGACAGGAGTGCTTAGGAGCTAAGGCCAGAAAGGACAGTTGAGATTGAAATAGGCAGAACTTTGGGTTAATTTGGTAATCAGACCCAGTTTCAGGGGAGGTGGACAAACATGTGGAAAAGGACTCCTTTCTTACTTACGATCTAGATTTAAAAAGAAGACTCAGTCATTTCTGGGAACACAATGCCAAGTGCACCGTATACTCGACAGAAGGGACTTGCTGGTTTGTCCTCCAAAGAGAAGGTTGTGATAAGACAAGGCTAATATGCCTGACCGCCGAGGGAGTTGTAGACAAGTGGGCATGCCCGTGGCCCTGCAAAAGGCGCCATGTGAAGCCTGAAAGCACCTAGTTCCAGAGCCCTGAGGCAAGGCTGAGCTGGAGCTGGCTGGCTGGGACTGACTTCTGGGCCACAGCCATGCCCCGGGGACTGCTCTGTGCTCTGATAGTCATGCTATCTGCACAACACCAAGGCTGGAGGCTGATGACACCTGACCCAGAAGAACTGCCTCTTGCCCACTTCTAGACTGGCTCTCTAGGGCCAGGGGGACACAAGAGCTCCAGACGGCCTAACGTCAACTCTGGGTCATCCTCCTCCGCGAAGCCCACCCACTAGTGGTCTGGAAGTCTGAACCTCTCTATTTGTCTCCCAGGAATGCTGCTGATCTCACCGCAGGGGACACTGACTCTGAAGATCACCTTGTGTTTTTAGACAAAAAAAAAAAAAAAAAAAAATCCTGTTTTTTGTAATGGAGCCAAGTGCATTCGAACTTCTCATAATCCCAAGTCTGCTATGAATAACTGTTAAGGTGTTGGCCAAGCAGATGCCCAGGGGATGCAGTGGAAGGCGAGGCTGGACGGGGATTTAAGATTAATTCAGAGAATACTAATTTCCAAGAGGCTGGAAGGCTTTCGGATATTACTGATGTATATAAGAGGAAGCACTGATGGTTTCTGATGACTCCATCAGCACAGGATGGATGAGCATGGGCAAAGGGTGGAGCTGGGGCAGTTAGTGACACGGTGATTCCTTCAACTGTTCTACGGTCAATCCATCACTCTTATTTTTTCATTCACCGAGACATCAATTAGACATCTATTAAATGCCAGACACTGTTCTAGGTTCTTTGGGGGAACAAAACAAAGTCTCTACCCTTGTGGAACTTTTGTCCTGGTAGGGGGAGACAGACAATAAACAACAATTTAATACATAAGTCGGTCATAAGAGACAATTAACTTAAAATATGTTCAGTGAAAAGTAGAGCAGGATAAGATGAATTCGAAGTGCCCCTGGGAATGGGGTGTTGAATTTTTAAATAAATTGTTCGGGGGAGGACTTATTGAGAAGGTGAAATCTGAGCAAAGAATTGAGGGAGGTAAAGAATTTGTTACATGGCCAGCAGGAGGAAGGGTACTCCACGCAGAGGGAATTGCTTGTGCAAAGACCCTGAGGTGGCAGTGTGTCTGCCACATTCGAGGGATAGTAAGGAGGCCAATATGGCAGGAGTGGAGGGAACCGGGAATAGAGTAGGAGATGAGGTTGGGAGGTAATGGATGCCAGAGCAAGCAGATGTCTAGGCAATGGTCAAGATTCTTTCTCTAACTCAGGTTTCTCAACCTCAGCAGTGCTGACATTTTGGACCAGATAACAATTTGGTTTAGGGGCTGTCCTGTGCCTTGTAGGATGTTTAGCAGCATCCCTGGTCTCTACCCACTAGATGCCAGTGGCACCCTCCCTCCAACTGTGATGATCAAAACCATCTCCAAACATTACAGATGTCCCTTGGAGAAGGGAGATCGCCTCTGATTGGGACCCACTGCTCTAAGCAAAATGGGGACACAATGGAGTTTTGGGAGCAGAGGAGGGACATAATCTGATTTATATTTTTAAAAGGTCATTCAGGATGACCTTTTGGAAATCAACTGGGATGGGAGGCAGGAAAGAAGCAGGGAGACACTTCAAGACCATCTGGGAGCTGGACCCAAGCATGTAGCAGGGGTGGTGGCGAGAAATGGTTGGGTGTTGGCTCTGTCTTGGAAATATAGCCCGTAAGATGTGCAAGAAAGGAGCCAAGGATGACTGGAAGGTTCTTGGCCTGAGCGACTGGCAGGACGGAGTTGCCATGAACTGAGATGAGGACAACAAGTATGTGGAACAGGTTTGGGGTGGGAAATCAGTAGCTCAGATTTGGGCATGTGATGTTTGAAATGAAATTCCAATAATCCAAGTGGAGAATATGAAGCACTGAACCGGACAGTGGCAGTAAAGACGGACAAGGAACTTTGTATTTAAGACATCGCCATTGGTGGTGGTGGTGGGCGGGGGGGACATAGAATTTGCACTCAACTGTCAAAGAGAAAAGGTAAGAAGCTGAAGAAGGCCTCGTGATTTTACGGCTGGATGCTACGGCTGGATGCTGCTGCTGGTGGAATGAGGATGGACCCCCTGAACAGAGAAATACGACCAGCATGAGGAGAAGGTGGGAAGGGAAAGAAGGCACTGTTCATCTAATATACTGGATCTGAGGTCCAAGGGACAGGTGAGAGGAAAGGTCTGGAGAGAGGTGGTGATACAGCTCAGCTGGTGCTCAGGAAAAGTCCTGAGGCTAGAGAGAGAAGGAAAACCCCTCCCCCCAAGAGTAACAGGTGTACACGGGGAGACTGACAAACTGGAGTGGAGGCCAAGAGATGGAGGAGGAACAGCCAAAGGCAATCGAGGAAGGAATGGAGCATGGAAGGTCAGGGGCAAGGAGGTTCCCAGGACAATCCAAATAACAGAAACTCTATTTAGCTAATGCTAGGCTACAATACCTATAACAATACATCAGGTTATTTATACTCAAGCCGAAAGCCCCTCTGTTATGTTACAAGTTTTACTAAGAGATGGCCATTTAAACTTACCCAGGATCTCATAAAACCCAAGCTTGGGAAACCACAAATAATGTGTAATTATCAAACATAATACATAAAGATGAACTACTACCATACATTACCAGATTTCACAGAAAATCTGTCCTTACTTAAGTTTGTCCTTAAAGATAGGGACAGTTAAGCTAAAAATAAAAGGTCAAAGCGAGAGGCAACAAGTGTTTGAGATTCAGGAAGCACTAAATCAGGCAGAAACCAAAATAGTGGTCTGATTAGGAGGCGAAGATGAGAGATTTTTATGAGAAAGGGAAGGGGAATAATTATATGAATAGAAAAAAATTTATATGGGTGTTAATAAGGTAGAGAATGAATTTCTACAGATGCAGATAAGCTAACAAAGTGATGCTAATTCTAAAGAACATCTTTCATTTTCAGTCAGGTAGTCATGTCTACTTTCCTATGAGCTTTGCAAACAGTTGTTTGGGATACAACCGACTTAAGGCCCAGTCCAAAGGTCATCTGCCCAATTTTAACATTCCAAAAGAGTAAGAGTTGCAAGACAGTTCCTTTGGGATGACAGCTCTGACTCCATTTTAAAGCGGTTCCATTTAGTTAATTTTTACAAAACCATGGGCTGGCTGTGGCCCAGGAGGGCTAAGCCTTCTGTACTATATGCCTTTGCTATCACTATTTATGTACGTCCTTGGATTTTACTAACACGTCCCTCATCTGCTGATTTGCAGACTTAGAAATGTGTGAAAAAGATTCTGAAAGCCTTGAAGAATCATTCATAAATCATATATTTATTAAATGACAAACAGTTTGAACACTGCCTGATTAAGCAAAAGAGACATTTATACATGTGCAAGAGATAGCAAAAAAAAAAAAAAAGACCTACTAAAGGTTATGATTACATTGAAAAATATTCCTTGATTCTTATCAGATTGACTCTTCATTTTTTCAGCCTCTTACAATTCTCTGAATTTAAGGTTTTTCCATGTCTTGTCTGAGAAAATAGCTTCCTCCTGTCACCCACTTCTGAGAGTATGTTCCTAATCGGGAGTTACCAAAGGTTTCAAAATACATTTCTAGTAACTGCTTCATGTGCTGCAACTAACAGCAGCCCATGAGATGAAATGCATTATATTCCCTTCCATCAGATTTCCAAAATGTTCATGTTTATTCAATCACTCACAACTCACTCACCCAGTCTTTACTGCGTTCCAACTGTGAGGCTGCACAGCCTTTCACCAGGCTCCAGGGAGGTGTGTATAGGCACAGAGAATGGTGCCCTTGCTGCTCTCGGCCTTCCAGTCAATTTCAGGTCTGGTACTGATGTAAAGATTACCTGAGTAAAGGAGGAAGGCCCTAGATAGCAGAAAGGTTTTCCATTTCCAACATATCCCAGAATAGCGAGCATTCTGACGGATGTGCAGGGGCAGATCAGGGGTAGGGTCGGGGGCAGCATCCTTCACCAGAGAAGTCTGGCTACCCCTTTCCATATTCCGGCCAAGTTTTTGATGGCAGAGTGAAGATGGCTAGATTATCAGTAAAGGCAGTAGGGGAAGCAGAAAACAATGTGGTTTGCAGTGGCTGGGAGAGAACAAGTTCTATCCAAATTAAGGTGTATATATTAGCTTCTGGTACCTCTCAGAGCTTCCCAGTTAAAATACATGGGAGAGGAGGGCACTTATCTGAATAGTAACGAGTTACCACCAGCCTCAAGGCAGTAGCAATTAACACTGAACGCCACAAAGACTCACTTTTGTACTTCAGAGGTTCTCCTCCAATGATGGAGCTGGACACAAAACAAAAAGGCTAGGAGGAATTTCTGAATAGAGAAGGCTGAGATTTGTCCCGGCGACACAGCTGACGCTGATCCCTTGCTTTCAGGATGGCTGCGACCCGTGCACAGACCCTGGGCATAGTCAGGGGAGGGAAGAAATGCAATATGGACCCTAGCCAGTCCCAACTTGCCGCACCTCGGCTTGTGAAACTGCAATCTCAGATTTGTAGCCCTCATTACTGTCTCCAGCTATTTCACGCCAGGTTGGACTTTTCTTGAGTTATTCATATCCACCAGCCCTAGCAACACTCGCTCCTAAGGAAACGCCCTCACGGCCCCTCACCCCCCCATTCCCTGAGGCAGCTGTTTTCACGTCAAGTGCAAATAACCCTAAAGGAAGTGCAGCCATACGATTGGTGACTCCCATAGAAGAAGGCTGCAGGAGGCAGGGGTGGGACGTCGATGCCCTACCAGCCTCCTCAGTCCCTCCGGACGTCCCGTGGGGATCCCGGCAATATTTGCAAACAGCTGTCCGAGCTCCGAGACCCGGCGGGCGGGGGTGTGTGAGGACGGTCCCAGACTTTCCGAGGCGGCCAGCCCCCCCGCTGTAGACCCCAGCTCTTACCTGAGCGCTTTCCCGAGAGCACGAGCCTTGCGGCTGGCTCCAGTGCTGGGATCGGGGCTTGTAAGCTGGACCATCATTGCCACGCCCCCTCGTCAGGTCCCATCGCTCGGGCTACGCCCCTCCCCTCCAGGCCACGCCTCATAAGCATGGTCACGCCCCCTCCACGTTCTTACTGCCCTGGCCTGGCCACTGCAGACCGTGGTCCTCTCTGCCTTTCGGGCTGTCTGCCCCATCCCGCGAAGGCCACGCCCTTCTCATTGGGCCACGCCCACCAGCTCCTCCTCGCCCGCTTCTTGGTCACGCCCCTGTGCTCCCCTCCTGCTCCGTCCCTCCTGCCTCGCAGAACCCATTACCCTCCCGCGTCCGGGGCGGGACTGGGTCGCAGGAATTTGATGTCTCTTGGGCAACCTCCTCAACTTGTCTCTAGAGAAATCCTCCAGGGCCCGGGAACTGAACGCTGGCGTCATTTTGTCTGGTGAAATCCGACCGCCAGCTACAAAATGACTTTCCTCGTTTTTTTTCCCATTTCCAAACATCAAGACGATATATTGAGAGCCGGTGGCTCAGTAGAGAAACGCAAACACTGCACGGGGTCATGCAACCGTGTTCCCTTCCATTAGTGTTTATGTCCACTTTACTCAAGTTTCTTCAAGCCGATCTTCACGTTCTCTGAACTCGAATTGTGGACCGGTGTTCCTTCTAGTCCCTTAGCCAATCTCAAAGCTTAGGCGGATGAGTGGAGTAAACAACTGTATTTCCTGACTTCTCCAGATGAACTTTCCCAGGCCTTCTCCAGTGAGCGCTTGCTGTCTAGGGCCTGTCGAGACAACACACTTAAGATTGAAACACTGGTTGCAGCCCCGCGTGCACTTAGAGATTACTCTGCTAGCCTTACTCTCTCCATTTATGACTCTAGGTCCACAGGAAAAATAGGAAGAGGTAATAAACAGCTTTTCTACTCCTGTACAGAAATCTATGACTCATCCTTTCAAATCATATTTATTGACTACATGCTCCCCTGACAAGACAAGCCTCAAGAAGCTTACAGTCTGAAATTGTCCCAACCTAGGTTTACATGTGGCAAGAAATGACAAGAACATTAGAGAAGATGTGGCAAGTGGTTAAATGGAAAACGATTTGGTAATCACAGGTCTTCCTGATTTGATTAGTAGGAATATTTTTGGGTAGCAAACATAGGAAACCACTTATATACACAGTAAATTCCCAGTATATCTTCATTGAAAATTTACCCTTTTCATATGCGTAGAAAGATACCATTTCCCCCTTCCTAGTAGTGAGATTTGCTACTTTTATATCTTTATATCCCAACAATAATATTTTTATGACAGCATAGTTATTTTTTCTTTTCTTCCCACCCTCCATTCCATTTCTGGCTAAGATAGTGGGAACTATCAAAAGGCTGTGCTAGAAGGAACACAGAGAAAAGAACAAGTTTCAATAGAACACCCTGACCCTGAGAACCTCGTCTCATTTATAAAATGTTTCAATTGTCAGTCATTTTTGCCTGAAAAATTAACTCACAGAAATTGATCCAAATACAGCCTATATAAATTACTGAGTTGATTTTTATAGTTAGTTCAACTTCATATTCTTTCGCAAATGATTTGAGGCAGCTTAGAAAAATAGACATTACTAGATAAAATAAATAGTTGAAGGAGCCAGGGAAAGGGGGACTTAATGGAAGGAGAATAATGCAGATGATGATAAGATTAGCATTTCAGTATGCAGGCCATCGGACCCGAAACAGTTGTTTAAGGTGGGCCACAGATTTTTTTTTTTAATAATTTTTAAATTTTTCAATTACAGTTGACATACAATATTATATTAGTTTAGGGTGCACAACATATTGATTAGAAAATTATATAACTTATGAAAGGATCACCCAGATAAGTCTAGTACCCATGCTATCCTTGCTCTCTCTATTTACAACTCTGGGTCTAGAAGGAAAAAAAAATTGAAGCAGTTATAACCAGCTATTATCTTGTCTAGAAATTTCTGAATAGGCACTTCCGAGGGAAGGGTTCGCTCCATTAGCCGTTCAGTCACTCATTCATTCAAATCACATTTCAAGTAGTATATTTCAGTTACAAATAAGACCAGCCTCAAGGAGCTTACAGCCTGAAGTTGCCCCAACTTGGGTTTTGATACAAGAAATGACTAGAAAGGAAGGAGTGTTAAGGGAGTTGATAGATGGAAAAAGGCTTGCTAATGATAAAGTTATTTGTGTATCAGGACCCACAAAATAGGAGCCACCCCAGTAGCCCGGCTCATGTCACAAATCTAAACCTGAGTCAGCCGCACTTAAGGGACACACTTGCCAAGGAAACCTAATGCACTCCAATCACGATCATCCCATTTGCTTTAGCTCGCTCACCTCACCTTGCTGGCCTCATAAGACAACCCCCAACCTCCTAGCCCATCCCGCCCCATTTCCTTGTTGCCTCTTCTAATA